TAGATGTTTCTACAACCAGGGTGGAGGAGAGCTCTCCTGTCAGACTGAGAGCCTCAGTGAGCTTAAGGACTCTCTGAGTATTTAGATAGTTAATTTTAGTCTAAGTTATCTCAGTGGGTCTCAAACGTTTTGACCACAAATTATGTAAACACATATTTCCAAGGCACTCCTTTATAATTAGGATAAATGAAAACAGGTTTGAAATCATTCCAATGTATACTATAGGACAGTNTGTAGAAATGTTTCATTTATTCTTTACACATAAAATATCGCCTAAAATCTCACCTAGGGCAGCAAATTGTCTAGAACCGGCCCTGGTACTAGGCCTCAAGAGCCTTTCTTGTGCTGGCAGACACATAGAAACAAATTGGCGGGGCGCACTTCGCACGTGCACACTAAAAAATTCCACGCGCTCCGCGCTCACATTATGCTAGGCCCACGTGCCTTAGCACCGCTGCTATGACTCCATCCTAGGGGAAACACTGACCTTTATACATTTAGGATCAAGTTTTGTTTTGTAGATTAAGTGTCAGAAAAACCTGAAAGCTGTCTTTTGCAATTCAATTCTGAATTTTTGGTAAAAAAAATCACAAAACATTAAGACAACAAAGATACTGATTTCTATTTTCACATTTAAAAGAGAAGATAATTAATTAGGAGATTGCCACCAGCAAAAAGGCCGACAAATTCCCTTCCTTCTCTTCTGCTTTGTAAATACAAAACATCACCATAATCAGATATAAACTATAGGATATCTCAAACATTTGACATTCATCTATCAATCATTAAAAAAGGTCATATGAGCCCAAATAACAGGGATCCTATTTGATGTCAAGAATAACACCATATAGTTGTTATAGAGAATACATATAACAGAAGTACTTCCTCCAAAACAGGTTTACTTTCATTTAAAGGAAGCAAGAGATCAAATAGCACCAGTCTTTACTGCTCCAAGGCAAATCGTTTGTATTATATCAGCTTCCTATTGTGACCAACATTAGATTTCCTATTAAAAGGCCCAACATTCTCAATAGCACTTCTGTGAAGCAGGGTACAAAATGAAAAACAGCACCAGGGGGCACACAGGGAAAGAAAGTCATACAAAAGGCCAAAGTACACTTCCTGTGGTTCACCAGAACAACATGGGACAACCCTCTGAAGCTGGCAGTGCCTGGACATAATAAACAGAGCCTGTGTCCAGCTGTTGCTCTGAGAGCATTTGACTGGGAATGCTTTGACATCAGTGAACAGTTGCATGAGTTAGCTTTTGGTTGGAGGCAAACAACTGCTGGAAATAGAATGGAAATCCCCACAACACCCACCTGAGAGTCCGGAGTTGTTTTGTCCTTGTCCCTGTGTAGCATGTCCCTCAGTGCCTGGGAACAGACAGTCAAAGGTCACTCTAATGCCTATTGCAAGTAGGCCTGAAACTAAGTACAAGTCATTGAGTGGCTGGGAATAGATCCATTTTCTCTGAATATCCTGGAAATACTCTTAAATCATGGCAATAAACAACTACAGCTGTAAAGAATGTCATTTTTCTTTTGAAATGAAAGAATCTATTTATGTTTTGAAACGATCCCTTAAATGTCTTTCATCATGTTTTATAATCATCACCTTAATAAAAAGGTTAAATATCCACGAATGAAAAAAGTCAGTGTTTTTTCTTTTTAAATCATTTTTCTTTAGGGAATATAACCCTTCAATTTCATCAACATAAATAAATAAAACAATGATGTTGTCTTGATTGTTAATAATAGCATTTGTTTTGAAATGATTTAGGGTTATTTAATACTATAGTAGTAGGTAATATATTTTTGTCTAATCAAATGGAGAAGGGGAAAAAAGCTATCCATCATTAAAATGTTGATTTAAAATTTGAATGTCAACGTTATAAATGAAGCTTGTTAATATTTGGTAAGCGCTACAAATGACTTAAAACGTTGTGTAACTCTCAGATAATACCAAACCCAGCAAATGGTTGTGAGAATGAAAGCTCCAAAAGGGCATATCTTTAACAACATATAAAAGGCATACCTCAAGTTCCTGATCTTTCTCGGCTATGAGATCAGAAAGATGTTTGAAACTGTCAGCTGATGGTTGATCTGTCTCTTGGTCTGTACTTTTCTTCTGATGGATCGCAGCTTCCTGGTTCTTTAAAGTCATCTTGAGCTGCTCAATGACACTGAAATGAGAAGGAAAAACATTTAGACAGATAAAACATTACAACAATGAAAACATATTCATGTGTTTGCTTTTCTATTGTGTTCCTACCTGTCTTTTTCCTGCAGAGCCTGCTGCAGGTCTTGTGCTTGGCTAGTCCCGGGGGGGAAGGTGCTGAGGGGACCCAGGGCTTGGAGCTGCTTTTCCATGTTAATATTCTTCAGCTTCTCCTGCTCAGCGATGGCTGCCATCTTGTCAACCTCTTCCTCAGCCGTTTTCAGACACTGAAATGAAGGAAAAAGTGAGACAACAGCCCCCTCAACTACCTTGGGGTTAAAAGAGAAATGTGCTGCTCTCAGTAACTAGTTAAGACCAACCTGCTCCAAGTCAGCTATCCTTTTGTTGAATGCATCTCTAAGTGCATCCATCTCTTTCCGAGCGTGCTCTTTCACACGCTGGGGTTCTCCGGATTCTCGACCAGCAAGACTCTCCAACGCTTTCCTGATAAACATGGATGGGGCAGATTAGTTATCGCTCATATAAACAATTGTATTACTTGGCTTGATGACGTCTTCCAGCCAACTCATTTCTTTTTTTGAACTGAATGACTCAAACATGTCTAGCTGAAACTGAAGGATACTCACGATGCAGACACGAGGAGTTCATGTTTCTCTGCCAGGTCTCTCTTCATAGACTCCAGCTCCACCTTAAGCTCAATGTTCTATAAAACACACAACATTTGGTCAATTACAGCACAACACACATCCGGCAGTGGCTCAGTCAGTAGGGGCTTGGACTGGGAGCTGTAGGGTCGCCGGTTCAAATCCCCGACCAGACCTAAATATGGAGTGTGGACTGCTACTTGGAGAGATCCCAGTTCACCTCCTGCCCTGCCGTGGTGCCCTTGAGCAAGGCACCGGACACCCCCCTTCCCCCCTCACTCCCATTGCTCCCCGGGCGCTGTACAATCGCTGCCCACTGCTCCTAGTACTAGACTTCTGGTACTAGGATGGGTTAAAAGCTGAGAACACATTTCACTGTGTGTGCTGTGTGCTCTGTGCTCTGCATGTGAGACCATTAAAGAGGGTTTTCTAATTTGCACATCTGGTTCACAATGGGGAAATCATTTAAGAGGTTACTTCTAACAGCATATAAATGAATCTCTCATTTTATCTTAGGGTGGGTACTTGAAGAAAACATTCTTATAGGAATCCTCACCTCTCAAAATGAGAAATAGAAGAAGACAAATAAAACAAGAAGCAGATTTCAACAGGCTTACATCTCACTCAAACAAACAATACAAAGGCAAGACAGCTGTTCTAAGGTTAGAAATGGTGATTTTGGTTTAAACAAATCCAGTTGTTGTTTTGGAAGATGTGATCTCAATTAGTCCCTGAGGGAAACACAGATTCACATGAAACATTGTGACACAGAGTGGCAATACAAATCCAGGACAGAGACTTTTACAGGTACAAAGTGAAATAAATACCGTTTTGAAAATGTCCTCAGTGGAGTCGTCACATTTCTGCTGCATGCGCTCCTCCATGAAGTAAATGCGCAGCTTCAGGTTAAAGTTCTCTTTCTTCAGAGCTGTGATTTGCTGCAGATGATTGACAAAAAAAAAGTTTAATGAACAGGAAATTATTGATCAACAGATAAAAATGTATGTTTCCCTTTTTCCCATCCTAATATAACAAACAAATACATCTATACCTTTCATTTACATGATGATAGTATTTAATAATTATACATTCTGTCCATCTAATTCCATCTAATCTATTGTCCCCGCTGTGGGACTAAAAAAGGATTTCTGATTCTGATATTTAGCTCTTTCTTACTTGCACCATCATGTCTATTGCACTATTTTATGTATTTTTGAAGTTAAGTATATTGTATGTTGCATTGTTGGGGAAGCCTGGGACTTTGATTTGCATTGCCAATGTAGCTATTGTGCAAAGAGAAATCATATCATGTTGGTCAAAATAAATGTCTTTGTTTGAAAAGCCTGACAACATGTTTACATGGCAGAAAAGGGTCATGTGCATGGTTCATGTTCAAATGAAGGGATGCCTTCATTCTTGTATGTGTGTTTGAGTGTGAATGTGTGTGAAGTGGACTGTGGTCTGTATCATTATGCTGTAGGCTGGGAACAGCATACATCTGGTGATGGGGGTTGGGTAGACTGTCAGAGGGAGGAGGCAGGAGTCTGGACCCCTCTTTAAAACCTCTAATCATGAAGCCAGCGCGGCAGCACGAGCCAAAACATCTCAGCATACATTCCTCTCAAATGCCGAAATATAGACTTTAACTCATCCTACTCTCCACAACACAACACAACTCTCACACACACACACACACACACACACACACACACACACACACACACACACACACACACACACACACACACACACACACACACACACACACACTTGTTGTGGTGGGGTTAGGCTTGACTACATTAACTCATACGGACACAGATTTAACGTATACGCAATTTAAACGCATTAATAAACAAATACAAATCACATGGTAATGTTATATAAAAAAGGCTTTTGTTAAACATTGTATAACTACATAGCAACTCCAATTTAAGAAACTTTATGCCACTTAATAAGCATCACTCACATTCTCATAATCCTTCATGGTGAGAGCTTTGATTGGGGACATCTTGTCAGGGAAGGATGGAGCTGTAAAGAAAAAAGTGATCAACTTTAACTTGTGTCACAACAGCACCATGGTCTCCATTTCATAGAGAATCCTCCCGGCTTATAGGAATGTATTTGTTTTAGAGCGATAAAGAGAAAGGAGAAGGGTTTTTTACTGAAGAGGCATCAGAGGTGAGAACATCTCTGGAGAGCTGCCATGTTTAAACCAGTTGGAAGCAGCTCACAGCTGATCATGTAACACGAGTCAAAAACACATTTTACAACACTGACTCCTGATACAGTTTCTTGAGGCTCAAACTTAGAGAAGAACAGGGAGAGATATTGAATATAAGGTTTTTGGCCTCTTCTCCTGGCCTCAGAGTAGCATTGTTCTCTTTTATTTATAGAATTGTGTATCTAGTATCTTTTTTGACTGCGAGTTGAACAACACAAGCAATTGTTGATGTCTGCATTGGCTCAGTAAAGCATTTTTTTCTCCCAATTCATAGACTGAAAAATATAACTTGAGATCTTCAGATTAGTTTTTATAATACAATAATAATAATAAATTGCAGCCTTTCCCACACAAATATGACAAATGTCAGTGTTCTGCCTAGTTGTATTTTTCCGCACGACCAATGTTTAAAAAAGCCACAGATGCTGACCTATATGTACAAATCATTTGTTTTCCTGCTTGTTTGTATTTTTCTAACCCTGTATACATTGTTGGCACACTGTAGGGTTTAATTAGAAAGAGGATTAGCTCATTAACATCATACAGCTAATCCCTTTTTGCAGCAGTGGGGACATAACAGTGGGAGGTCACAGCAACGATTCAGCAGCCATATTAATTAATACACAAGGGGAGACACAGCTGAACAAGGGAAAAAGCAGAAATAGAACCAAAAAAAAGTATTTATTTACCTGTCATGCTGTCCATGGAAAATTCTCCAGCATCTATGGAGTCTGGCAGTCTGCAGCTAAGGAAAGAATCATTCTGTTAGCGATGCAACCTTACTACAAATATCATGAAAAGGTATCACTGTTACAATGTCATGACAATTGACTTTTCTATTTTTTTTAATCAACCTAACCAAAGCAAGCTATGTGTTCTAACCTCGCACATTGTACAGACTTACTCTGAATATTATGGTTTTTGAACAACATATAAAGAGCCATGTTTATGCATTACTCACGCTGGCCAGTTCCATTGAGCCTCAAGAACAATCTGTAAATAACTCAAGAATGACTCTGCTTCATTTACATCCACTGTGGCAGTGTGTGTGTCTGTGTGTGTGTGTGGGTGTATAAGACCATGTGCAAATGGCAGCCCAGCTCTCATGTACAGACAGACAGCCAGAGCGACAGGAGGAGAGAGAATGAGAGGAACCGGGGGACGGAGAGGCTTTCTTTGGTAGACAAGCAGCCTACTGTGGTTTTGAGCATCACACAGATGGGACAGTGGCGTCACACGCAGACAATCACACCAAACATCAGCAACACACATCTGGATCACACTGACACAAAGGGAACCGGGGTCTTACTGTCTTACTGACTAATGTAAATATGCTGCTTATAAAATCTGTTTTTAAGAGTAAAATGACCTAAATGAACAAAACAGATGCTATTTGGGAGCAGGCTCATGTCCATCAACCTTGGACCTTGTGTCTAATAATATATAATGTTCAGCATTGCGTAACTCCTTCCCATACCTCCCCCGGCAGCGGAGGCACATTCGCTCTGCTGCTTCTCTGCCATATTACTCAGCAAAGATCAACGCTGACAGCATGATTTATTTTATATTTCACGTCTACATATTCCTAAATGTCATGTTATTTATATAAGGGAGCAGATTTTGCTCTAGCTTTGAGTCATTGCAATAAAATACGATTTAAAAAAATATATTGGAGGATGGATTACATTTTTGTAAATCAGTCCCTGTATCGCAACTTGAGTGTTAACGAATGCATTGCTTTTTTGTGAATTGTTAGACATTCTTTCCAATTCTATTATATTTCTACATTTTCTGTAACCATGAATACCTCAGCTATAATTAAGCTTCCACTGTGAAACTGCACCAGAAACCATAATGACACTGCTGCTCTTCCCCATCTCTGATTTGATTTGCCACCCAGCAAACACTACAATGTTAGCCAACATGAAACACCATCATTCAGTCAATTACAGTGGATAAAAAGACATACAGTCCCGATTTAAATGAGACTTTTAAAACATTGAATCACTGTTGAAATTAGGCATTTTAATACTGATAAACAACAAAATGTCAAATTAAACTCATGTCAAAATGATCCAAGATTCTATGTGATACAAGGATGAAACATGACGATTATAAGCAGCAGCAAAACAATCCTAAATACTTAACTTAAAGTCAGTCAAATTGCATCAGGGAGGCTAAGCAACCCCTTCCTGTGTTAATGGGGAGGAAGCTCTCTACAACAGGAGCCACGATAAGAGTTAAAGAACCAAACAAAGATGTGAAACAACATCCATAGAAACTGACACACATGTCACTCTCTCATAACATAATATATTACATTTAAAGACATATGTGTAATTGTTAGTAACGCTTCATTTGTTACCCCTCAAGCACACAGTGGAAACAATGTAAGAGTCGTAAACACTGACTTCCTCATTTTTTCTTCTCACTTTGTTCAACTGCTAAAGACAAAAATGGAAGCATTTAGACCTACAATCCTGTCATTGACAGAAGTTAATGCAAATCAACACTAACTAAGCCGACTGACATCACGGAAAGACATGTTTATTTCCAAACTAAAAGGATACAGTGAATCAGGTTTCAGAATTACCGAATAAGTAATTCACACCACACATATCAGCTAACATCTTGGATTACTGAGGCACGCTTACCACCTGGATGACTGCTTTTACACTGGACACAGCTGGGCTAGGTCATTTACAAAACCGAGGACACAATTCTAAAAACATAGAAGCTATAACTAGATTTGCAGTGCAGCAGGAAGAGTTGTAGACTAGCTATATTCCTGAACAAGTCAACAAAGCACATATAAAGAGCAGAGCAAATAATGCACAGTTCACCTACCACAATCACTTCTCTCATGTCAAGGAGAGCACGCGGGAAAAAAACAAGTATTACATGTTAATCCACATTTTGCAGAGAGTGCAAAGAGAGCTGCTTCAGTCTTAACCCCTCTGAAAGTGTGACAGATAATTTCCGCTTTCTTTCACTTCTGACTGACAGGTCATCAAGCCGACACACCAATCACATTGATATCACAGCTACATGCAATGAGCTGCAAATGACTTATAACGGAAATAACTACTTCTAGTGTACACATGACAGGCTCTCTGCACCAAGCTTTTATTGCACTGTTGATGTTTCATTATGGTTTGGGACTCCAGATATTGTTTGAGCCAGACTGGCAGTACGAAACCAACATTATTTTCTTTGTATGTAGATCTTTTGCTCATTTTTATAAACGCTATTGTGTTGTTAACTTTAAAGCAATGTGTCTATTAGTAGGAACATTATCCCTTAAATTTATGGCAAATGTATGTATATATATATATAATTATTACATTTGTGTTTGATGTTCATAACAACGGTATTTAACTTATACCTAAAACCTGCACCGTATATGTATATGCCTTATCAAAATATATGTATTCATATTTATACATTTTTGAACATTACTACAACATTGTTTGACTGGATACAAACTGCATTTCGTTGACAATTCGTTACTGTATGTAACGTTAGTCAGTCAAATATGTTACTAAAAATAATTGCTTCCAGGACGATTGTCCAATTTAAATTGTTAGCTAGCTAACTTCAAATAGCCATGTCAACATTATCTTAGAGTTAGATCATGTGGAAGTGTATACAGATAAATATCATGTGTGTGAGTCAGATTAACTACAAACTACACCAGAAGTAATAGATTTTACGATATATAACTGTACAGCAACTATACAATAAGCTATAATATTATGTGGCTAACTACTGGTTTTATATGTTTACGTTGTATCATCTGATACAACTTGAATGAATAGGTGTTGTTCCAGATATTAGTCGAGCCCTGTTTAGCGGTAACTAATGTGGAATCGTGGATTATTGGGTTAGCTATAACGTACGCAAACATGCTAATGTTAGCTCGCTAGCTATCGTTGGTGTGTTTTACCTTCCGTTAATGTCAACGGGGAGCGTCAAATCGGCCCCCACGACGGAGTCCATGATAGAGCTTCACTTATCGTGTGTTATCCCCAGAATAATAGCACATTTTACATACTACAGCAATTGAATTGTTCAAAAAGCGGGACGGAATTCAAAATAGTCCAGGCTACCGCCATCATGATATGGTAGACGTCACCATTGTGGACGTTAGGGACTGGCGATGCCTTCAGGCTCTGTTGGAAATATTTGAATTCACATACGAAACGCTACAGAAGATGCTCTAAAAAATATGAATATCACGATGTACCGTACAAAAACACAGGTTAGACGGCTTAATTATGTTACTTCCATCTCATTATTTGTTTACAACAAATATTGAATGCAATTTTATTGTTTAAAACTTCATAATAAAGAATTTACGAGCAAGAAATGGCGACACATAACAAGGTGGAGACCAGGTAAACGCGATTGGCCAAAACAAACTTTGGGGAGGGACGTAGAAGCTCAAAATACAGACGCTCCTTTGGTATCCAGCCATGTAATATTAACGTCTCTCTGACAGCACACTTCCAAGAAAAGTCACGTGCTTTTATTTAGTGAGCCCACGAATCTATATCTTGTTGGTATAATAATAAGATGATAAATGTCGTACAAAGGAAACGCATCTCAAAATAACTCAACTCATACAGTTGTGGAAGAAACAAATGTACACTACCGAAGTCCTGCAGTGGAAATGTTATTTAAGTAAAAGTACACAAATATTAGTATAAAAAAGACTTAAAGTACCAAAAGTAAAAGTATTTAGGATGGCATATGGCAGAAATGTATGTGCTAAGTTATTTAATTAGTTATTATTGCATAAACTGGTAAACAAGTAGGCCTAGATGAGCTTAATGCATTTATATATTTGATATTTCATTGAACAAGCTTGTGTGTGTGCAGTGCTTCTCAAAGTGTGGTCCACGGACCACTGGTGGTCCGTGAGCGCTCCCTAGTGGTCCGTGAGTATATTGGTAAAATTTCACATTTGAAATAAATAAATACATTTAAGTTTTCCGCACTCTCGCGGGAAAATCTCCGCAAATGAGCGAGTTTAAGTTTCACTTAAATGTTCATGATTTTATCATAGAAGATAACCAGAGGTTACTTTGTACATCAGTAAAAGTAGAAGTACCAGAGTGTTGGAATACTGTGTAACAAGCAATAGTCCTGCATTCCAAATGCTACTCAAGATAGTATGCAAATGTAAATGTATTCCAAGTGTAACTAATGTCTGATTTAAGTGTTGATTATATTTCACATCATTAATCCAGATCTGAAAAGTAACTATCGGTAATAAATAAATGTAGTGGAGTAAAAGTAAAACATCTACCTGTGAGTGTGGTAGAAGTAAAAAGCAACAAAAAATTAAATTAAAGTACAGTACTTGAGTAAATCAATTTAGTTTATACTTTATACCACCGAAAATAACACACCCTCACACACAATTTGTGTGAAAGGCAAGATATTTTGATGAAAGTCTTCATTTGTATTGTTAATACTATGAACCTTTGCACGCAGTCACATTGTATATTTTTATAATTTTCTTTTAAGACATAATTCCAGCAGAGTAGTTGGTGCATCAGACAGTAACCAAGTATATTTACTTACATTTAGCATTATACTGAAGTAAAACGAGGTTTAACTATTTTATTATTTCCAATTCCGCGACTTAATCATAATTATATTTCCCTATAACTCAGCGTAAAATATTGTACTACGTGTATATGTACTATACTCCACTGCATTTACATAATCATTAGTTGCAGCCTTGCTTTATGTTATAGACGTTGCTAATTTTACTTTTTGAAACACATTAGTATTGTATTCATCAAGGTAGATTCTTGCATTTTAATTTTCATAAAGTAATGTATGATGTTTATGGGTATTCCAATCAATCTAGCAGTTGACAAGTAAAAGTCCACACTGAAATTGAAATATTTATTGAACAAATGGACACTGGACAATGAATAAACAGTAGACAGATAAAAGATGATGGCAACAGAAATGTTCAGAGTTTTGATGACTAACTGTTTTTGGTAGATATTCCCAAACAGGCATTAAATGACAGAAAATCTTTATGTAAACATGTGAGGTATTCTTAGCTCGTTTTAATGTCTACAACAGATTTACAAAAAGAAGAAACACTTTTCACATATTTGCACAATTCTTCAAACACAAGTTATATTATAACAGAGTCCTGATACAGTACATGGTTGATTATCATAGAGGGAAAAACAACATAAAGGAAATAACAAAAAAATAAAAAAATAAAAGATAATTAACATTGAAATAAATTTGTTCTCTGGAGCCCCAAATTTACACATAAAAAATCTATAAACTCCAAGACCAGTTGGGCAAACTGATATATAAAGTTGTCAGAAAGAGTAGTATTGCTTTAACCAACAGAACGTTAACCACATTAAATAACATTAAATTAGCAAGAGGGGGTCCACTGTATACAGCACGCTTTGAACAATTATACACACTTGTGTCCAGCTACAACAAAGGAACTTTTATTTAATTAAGACTATTTCCGCTAGTTGAGTTTCTAAAAAATATTACATACAGCTGAGGGGGGGCTTTGTACAGAGTAAAATGTTATGCCTACAAACAATCATTCAAACCCTGTGATTTATATACTGGATACAAAAGGAGTAATCTTTTATTTTGTATAGTTATTTCTAGAATAAGTTCAAGCAGAAAAAGCATGTTTGTATCTGCAGCATTGAACAACATCAGGGAACTACTTTGTTTGGGCTGGGATATTAGCATTATAGTGCATTATGGCAACTATCACAATATATTATATGTATTTTGTTTATTTGATCTAAGCAAGCATGCACTATGAACATCAGAATATTTCAGCAAAGTGGTGTTATTACAGCACTATGGTTAGCACCTTAGATCATTTACTTAGCACCATGCATTAGAGAGAGGATTAGATAGAAGACAGGGTTTCTATTTGGATTAACTGACCCTCTGTCCTCTCTCCTGTGGCTCAAACTCAACACTTTAAGTCTGTTTATTTTAAGTATGGGAGAAAAAGAGACTCCTGGTCCCATATGGCGTAGAGTATATTATAATTCCTATTGCAAGTCAGGAACGGATACTCTACGGTTGTAGAGAAATTAATAAAACACTATTTAGAACTAGAGCTCTTTAATTGTTTTTTTATTATCTCCACAATTCTCCCTAATCATCAGTGGCATCCGGTTCAATAATGTATGACTGAGAAAGATAGAAATAAGTATTACTTGCACTCACTTTCCATGTTTGTGTGCATTAGCGTATCATCAGACGATGTTACTGAGAGCTGAAACTTATTTTTCCCACATTAAGGATGTCAATAAAAGCCATGGTGTCCCATTTTGGAGCACCAGTAAATACAGATGTGATTCCATGCTCATGCCTCTGGATTGATTCACGTGGGCAAGATCATGATGAGCACCTAAGGCAAGTAAAACAAAAATGGCACCCCTGAAAAAATCCTTCCATATAAGTTTAAAATATCAAATCATCTTCTCATTTTCTATTGCACTTGAAGATTATTTCTTTACATAAGATATACATGTATACAAGTTAATAATAAGCATTCTTATATATATGTACATTAAACTAATCCCAATTACTTTAATTATTCTCTCTTAATTGAATAGAATTCCTGGTATTTCCAAAAAAAATGCATACAGTTACAAAAATAAGTTATTATAATGTCCGCAGATGAACTTGGCCTTGGTCTCCCTTCACTTAGCAATGTTCTCGAGAGATGAGGCGTGGAGTTTTTATTTCTCCACGCGGGCGGACATACGGAGATCCTTCCTGAAGAGCTTGAAGAAGCTTTTGCCAAACGGAGAAGCTTTTAGGTGCTTTTAGTGCAAGAACTCCCCTGTCCTCCCCATCTCTTCTGTCTCCCCCCGGCTTCCTCCCTCTGTGTCTGCAGTCCAACGGGAGTTTGGAAGAGTGAAGCACGATCTGATTGGAGGGGAGGCTTGTACTCGCTTGGGTTGATTTGCCATGGGTTGGAGGAGACTACTCAATCTCCCCGCCCGCATGAGAGTGTCACCTCGGGGGGGGGATGATCCGTCCCCCTCCATGATCAGAGGACAAACATGGCCGCCCTCACAGGAAGCAAACAGGACTGACTTCCAGGTGGTAATGTGAGCCAGGTGTAGTCTTGGGGAGGTTGTAGATGTCCACCACAGGGAGCAGGGAGGGGTCCAGGGAGTGGAACACAAAATGGGTTTGGTGCCAGCGGCCATCTTTTATCTGAAACCCAGAAACACAAGACCATCTTTTAAGTCCAAATCATGAAATGTACACTGAGGGCTCCTAAAACACAAGGTTGGGGTCTCACGTTCTGCAAAACACCGCGTTGTGTAACTTGTGATCCTGCTGTGCATTTTTGTTATAAGAAATAAGTTGGTGATTAAAGTTTAAAGTTAGTATTTGCCCTAACCCCAATCAAAAACCTTCAGATGAAGATACAACCTCGACTAGACTTTGCTGCAGATTTCCAAAATACTAACCTGACAGCTGATATATTTTAGAATGTAATTCTCATTGCTCTACTGGAAAATATATTACAAATAAATATTGCTCAAATATATTGAAATTAAATGGACTTTTATAATTATGTCCAAAAACAAAATTCACTCAAATGGGGGGATTTGTACTCTGATTATCATTCACATTTTAATGTGATGTGAGACAACATATACAAATGATAAAACAAACTTGACATGCATGACATTTTGATATTGAAAGCTTACCTAGTTTGCTTTATAAAATAAAATAAAATAAAAGCATATCCTTTTCCACTCAGTCCAGCTTGCAGGCATGCAGGTAATCTTACACTGTAAAGTAGCCTAAACAGAGCACGGGGCTAATATGGTCAAGTACTTGCTACTATATCCTGCAAACCATACCCATCGTGATGGAATATTGAATTTTTTTAGGAGTCCTGTAATATTTATGGCAACAAGTTTGAAAGTCTTTAAACTTAAGGGCACAAAGCCAGCTAGCACCATGTGAGTCGTACCCAGCAGGAGTCTTCTAAGACTTCAGGCTCCAGCTCTCCCCCCGCCTCGAACACCTCCCCGGTCCAGGCCTTGAACCTGACGGAGCCCTGGGGGGCCGGCTGATCCTCCGCTGCTCTCCAGACGGAGAAGTTGAGGCAGTGCACGATGATGTGCTGCTCTGCCTCGGAGCTCAGCAGGTGGAGGAAGTTCATCTGGACACGACACACGCTTATGGCCGGCTGCACAGACACACACAGCACAGTTAACACGTGGGGGAAGTGTTTCACACTACAGGTGAATATGGAAACTATAGATATCACCATGAACCGTTAATCTTGGTTTAAGCCAGGTTCACAATTATCACAGAGAGATTTATGAATATCTTATTGTATCAGAAAACACACAGTCATACAAAGAATATGAAATGAGCCATAATCTAATGTTAAAGTACATCTTAATGTCAATTTTGGATGATCTTTCCAGAAGCCTAAAGAAAGAGTAGAGAAATATAAAAAAGACATGTTTCCCCCTGGAATATCTCACTTTAAATTGTATAATCTAGTGGACTTTGCTCATTCCATCTAATCTGTTTTTGTGTCTTAAATACCTTGGAAACTGTGATTGGTTTTAGGCAGGTCTGTCCACCTCCAGTAAAGTTGCAGGAGACTTCTATTGTGTCTGACGAGCAGCCCAGGTTGGGGTCCATCCAGTAAGTGCCTGAAACACATTGTGGGTCATTTCTTAGTCTATCCAAACATACAATGAATCACTATGTTTGTCTCCAACACAACACTCACCATCGTTTAACTTGTGTTCACAGCTGTGCAGGTCCCTGCAGATGCGTGCAGGGTTGTCCCGGGTGCCCAGGGGGTTCTTCAGGCTCTGGATCAGGTTACTGAGGTAGTGGAGGGTCTTAAAGATCTCTGTGCCCTGGTCCAGCATTGGCAGGTCCATCGCCAGCTTATTCTGGAGGACAGACAAAAAGATTAGTCACTGCAATTTGCAAAAATATATCACAAAACGTAGACATGTTGACGTCAAAATCCACCAACCTCGGTCCTGAGAGGGGCGTGTGAATCCATGACCAAAACACCGTCATCCTTCTGCAGGAAAATAACAAAATGATATCTTATCTCACCAGTGTCTCTTTATCTTTCTGGTTTACACAATAAATCATTTCTAACTACTTAAAGCTTTATTTGATGTTATAAAATCAGACAAAATAACATGACTTACAAATGATTGAGGAATACCCGGACGACCCTACAGAGGTAAAAAAAAAGAAGCTATTTAGACAATGTATCATGAATATTGAAAAGGAAATGATGTCATGGAAGGTGGAAAACTTACTGGAAGTCCAGCGAGTCCACGAGGTCCAGGAGACCCCTAAAAAATAGGAAAAACACACATTATGGATTTAATGTTATGTATTCAATCAAGTTTCCTTAGAAAATGCTAATTATCTGTAACAACAGGAAATGACACAGCATACAAACGTACCCTGGGGCCTTGGAATCCCTGTTCAGAAGAGCAAAGGCATATTTTCAGATTGATTATTGTCTTGAAATCTGTCTTTGTTTTTTTACACATTTAAAAAGTATAAAAAATGGAAAAGAAAATATGTTGTGAGAAGTTAAGACTTACAGTCTCCCCACGATTGCCCTTCTCTCCTCTAGGACCCTGTAAACACATGCACACAGTCAGTTTTTTGGAAAATAAACGAGAGGAATGGTACATTTTACAATGAATCTGTGTAATACTTACTGCGCTTCCATTAGGGCCAATGATTCCCATGGGGCCAAGGACTCCTGATCTGCCCTGAGGGAGAAAACAGGAAAACAAATATGAAATAAGAAGTGAATTGCAGTTATTAATTTATATCTGTACCATTAGTGTCCTTACTATTGAGCCCTGTGGCCCCTTTGGTCCCCGAGTGCCCTTTGGTCCAAAGTCCCCTGGAGGCCCCTGGAAACAGCAGAGATCATATTTAAACACACTTTTATCATAACCCACTTTGTACATGTGATCAAAGCTGCACTCTAATCTTTGATATCATTCAATGTCTAATGTAGTGTCTAGCAGACTCCTCAGTGACAGATGAATAGATTGTGTTTGTGTCCGTTTACATTACATTATACACACAAAATGGTGTGTAGTTTTGAATAAATTGTGTAAAATGATATCTTACATTTTTGAATGTTCTGTTTTCATCATTTTATTTTATTGTAATATCTAATCTAATCTATTTAATCTAAAAACAGAGTTGAGTTTGGAGTGTCAGAAATATAATGTGGCTGTAGAATGACATGAGAATTGTATATTAACGTCAATGTGTTTACACTGTGCTGCTGTTTGGTGATGCATACATACCCTTGGTCCAAAAACTCCCAGGATTCCTGGAAAACCGGAGTCTCCTATATCACCCTGAATAAGAATAAAGTCAAAATAAGACACACAGAGTTACAAAAAGTCTATTCAAATGACCGGTGTAGGTAAATCATTGTTTTTCTAACTTATGATACTCACAGGTTGTCCTTTTGGCCCCTGGTCTCCCTGAAGCCCCGGCAGTCCCATCCCTCCTCTGAAACCTCTTTTCCCCAGAGGGCCGCTCTGTCCACGAAGACCCCGCTCACCCTGGATGGATGAATGATGAAGTAAAAATCACTCATGGCCAAATAAATAAGCACCACATGATATGTAATGAGTGGTGGAATGCAATGCATTACAGAGTTTACTAGTTCATTATCCCTCTCACCTTTGGTCCGAAGGTCCCCTGATCTCCTGGGAGTCCCTGGACACCAGTTTTACCACGAGAGCCAGATTTGCCAGTAACACCTTCCTCCCCATCATCACCTTGCTCTCCCTACATGTAGATGCATGTTGGCATTAGGATTCACCACAAAGATGAACAATACACCAGTATGCATTTCTGTCCAGCACTTTGCCCCTGAGCTCTGCTTTGTTTCACTTATAACACAATACATCTCATTGTTTAATAGAGAGTCATCACATGTGCTGATGACTTTCAGACGTCTAAGAATACACCATGTGAAGTCTAATGCATTTCCTCATAGCAACACCCTCAGGACAAATCTGGTGCTTCTCAGGTTAGTCTCTAAACATAGCACACAATGCAATTCATCACTTTGTTGTTTATTCTGTCCAACACATTCATTTTGTAGCATCATTTAATCCTCTAAGGCATGTCAGCAAAGAAACAAATAAAATAAAGAATAGGTAAGAAAAAACCCATTAACAGACTATATTTGTACAGCACTGTTCACGCATCAAATGCAGCAAAGTGCTTTGGATAAGTAGATTCATAAGAATGCATAAATAAATAAAATAATAAAATCTGTACCTTTATTTGAAGCATGCAGCATCAATAAACACTGTAGCATCTCCATTCTCTTCTAGTCTGTCCTTTTATTGCATGTTCTATATATTTACATCTTTTAGACCGAAACTCAGCAAAGCTTTGCCTTGGTGTGAATAGGACTAATATTATTGTCTCACCGGCATGCCTTTACTGCCGTCCTTCCCTGGGACCCCGTCCATCCCGGGCGCTCCCTCCAGGCCCTCTCGGCCCACCACTCCTCTGGGACCAGACGGACCCCCCAAACCCTGAAGAGAGGACCAGAAGAGAGGATTAATCAGAAATACAGACCGAGCGTGTTACTGGCTTCTTCTTCTTCTTCTTCTTCTTTTCGACCGTCTCGTTTACTCGAGAGTAGATGAACACAATCTGTTTTCTCCTCTCCTCTCCACGTTAATCTATTTATGACTTTTGTTTAGCCATCATTTCCAAGTTCTCTAGTCACGAAATGCAGACATTTAAAGCTATGAGTATAAACCATCTGTCATTTGTAATGTAATGAGGCAGGTGTTGTTGACTCACCTCGGGGCCTTTGGTTCCTTTTTGTCCTGAATTACCCTTTTTGCCTTTTTGACCCTTAAGGGAGAGAAAATGGGAGATATTATAGTATTAGTGTCCCACATCTGCAGGTCCTTGTTTGTCACTGACAATGATCCACAATTACATTGAAGCAGATGCTGTTGATGAGAACCAAGCCAAAAGAAGCAAATGAAAGCATAGTACTACTGTTATATCACAGTATTCACTCAGCTGATTAATGACCTCTTTATGGATGTTTCTGTTGGATCTGGGCAACATTAGCTAACCTTCACACTTTGCCAGAGACCCAATGATGTGTTTGCAACTCTTATCTTGCTGTTGAACTTTAATCAAAACGGTCAAATAATGTTATTTTAACTGAGTTCCTTTTGTATCCCTTTCCCCCCTTTTCTTCTTTAATCAAGCATCAAACAAAGGGTTTACAAATAAATAATAATTACTAAACATATTTTTCCTATAATACAAAGTAAAACATGCATTTATAAAAATGTGAATGAAAAAATTAATGAATAGAAAATGTAATTCAAAACTAAGAGTTTTTACCCAATGAGTTAGTCCGGCATTCAGCTTTGATACTATATATAAAACATAGGATCTAAAGCTCTCAAGGACTGAAGCTAATGCAATACAACTATAATTAGGACTTTTATCATTTTGATTTTTATCTTCAATCCACTGGCTTCCCGTTCATTCGAGGATTCAGTTTAAAACTCTTTTATTTACTTTTAAAGCCCTCGATGGCCTGGTCCCACCCTACCTCTCTGAGCTGTTACACAGCTACACGCCCACTCGCACTCTCAGGTCAGTTGCTCCTGAGGGGGCCAACATCTAATCTATGCGCAGAGGGACCGTGCTTTCTCTACTGCCGCCCCTAAACTGTGGAACGACCTGCCCTTGCTAATCAGACAGGCTCCCACACTGTCTGTTTCTAAATCCCGTCTTAAAACCCACCTCTTCTCCTTAGCATTCGGAAACAAGTCGATTGTTGCTTTTATTTGCTTTCAGTGGTCTATTGTTTTTATCATATGGCTGTTTTTATGTTTTTTATTTTGTAATTGTCACGTTTATTCTGGTTTGTTTTGTGTTTGTATCTTTTATTTTAAATGTATTTATTTTTTGTTTTGTGAGCTGAGCTCTGTGATTTTATATGTTATGCATCTCTCTGTACAGCACTTTGGTCTGGAGGTTTTAAAGTGCTTTATAAATAAAGTTGGATTAGATTGGATTGGAGGACTGCATATCATTTATAACCCTTCAAAAATGCACACACCACTAGCAAACACACACAAGGTGTTTGTTTCATCCTTACTTGATCTCCTTTGGTCCCTTTGGGTCCTTGTTGCCCTCGAGGTCCAGGATGCCCCTGAAATTGCCGGTTAAGTTAATGCAAGAAATAAAGAGGCCCAGTGTGAGCCAGTTGTTTATGCAGACTAAATGGCAGAGCTGTGTATGGAACACTCACAGGTAGTCCAGGAGCTCCAGGCCGGCCTCTTCCCCCGTCCACACCAACCAGACCCTGAGAAACACAGACACAATATTAACCTAATGAACAAAGATATGTTTAAAAACATGATTCAAATCACTTATTCAACTCACTTTGTATCCGGGGTCTCCTGATTCCCCTCTCTCTCCTCTGTCACCTGGAGGACCCTGAGAAAGACATGAAATACATGAGCTAACAGCAAATGCTTTCATTCCTACAATCAGTAGAAGGAGGGAGAAAATTCAGGCGGGACTTACTATGTCACCTTGAGGACCCTGAGGACCCTCCACCTTCCCATCGTCCCCCTGCTCGCCCTGCAGAGGAACACCAGAACAATGTGAGATCACTGATATCAGGCACACTAATGTATTTAGCTTTGAAACTAAACGCTGTATATATCGGAGGCTTACTTAGTGGCTCTCTTTTGAATGCGATCACGTGGGCGATTATGATTCCAATGCTATTAAAGATTATCAGCCTTAGTTTAGAATAACATATTAAAAACACAATTCTAAAAATGTGTTGTATTCCATTAAGGTACTGAGGTTTCAAAACAAGGCTGCACACAAAGAGAGGAGCATTTGAAGATGTTGGTTTGTGTAGCCCATTCGGTGTTATGAATCCAGTCTTAAGTGATGTGTAACCAATCCAACGGGTGCATGGGTGTACTGGGAACAGACGATGTTGTAGAAGATACAAAGGAAGTCCTATATATAAGATGTTATATATAAATGTATCCTTGTGCCAAATATTTCCCCTCTCTTCTGTCTCTTACTTATGTGTTACAATTAAAAACACAGTGATACACACATGCACCCTAAAAAAGAGCCAGACTGGTTTATTTAGCTTGGTTTTGTTCCGTCTCATTTAGCATCATGTTGAGTCTTTCCCTATGCATTGCACTATGGTCTGTCACTTCCGAGCTTTGGTTTGCTGTCCTTTGCACCATTACATACATAAATGAAGATAAGGAGCAAGAATAATAGATTTGTGTTACACATAAAAAGAACGAGGTGTACCTTTTCACCTTTTGGTCCTGGAGGCCCTATGGGGCCCTGTTTTCCCTGATGACCCTGCAAAGACAAACACAACAAATGATGTCATGTTACATTATAAAACCAAATGCAAATAACCAATAACAGACAGATTGAAAGTGAAATGTCCACTTGTAGTCATCTTACCTCATACCCTGCGAGCCCAGGTTCCCCCTGGATACCCATTCGACCAGGGGCTCCCTAGAACAAAAGTTTAGTCGCTTGTCACATTTTGTGTAGTAAAGACCGGAAATGAATGACAAATATCTTACACATTACAACCTGAAACAATAAACAGCAACTCTTTTAAATCAATTCGCTTATACCAACAACATGTGGGAAAATGAAACTATTGTAATCAATGTCAATGAGGGTCCTCCTTCATTGATCTCTGTAGTATATAACAAGGTTAAATGAATGAATGAATGTGTATCATTACTGTTCCACTTTACCACGTGTCCGATGGTTCCTCTGGACCCCTTCTGCCCGACAAAACCTGGAGGTCCGGTTTTCCCCACCGTGCCCGTCTCCCCGAGGTGACCTTGATGACCTTTGGCACCCTAAACACACACAAAGGATAAGGTACACAACAACATAGTGTGACAACTTTTGATTTCTGAAGGGTTCAACTGTTATTAGACATGATTTCATGGTAATACCTTGGACCCTTGTTTGCCTTTTTCCCCAAATTTGCCAGACTTCCCTTCTGGACCCTTTGAAAGGAAAATACATTTAGTAAAACTCCTTCAAAAAAGAAAAATGCGAGTTTGTCTTTGACAAGAAAGACTCACTCGGACGCCGTTGAGTCCAGGATTTCCAGACGGGCCCTCTTTTCCTTTTAGCCCAATTTCTCCTTTTTCTCCATTGTCGCCCTCCTGACCCATGTCGCCCTTTTCACCCTGATCATAGATTAAGTAAAGTACGTTTATTCATGCAGCACATTTCAGACACAAAGGCAGTTTAAAGAGACGTATTCTACACATCAAATACGACCATTCACATAATGAGAAAATCCTTAATATAGTTAAGGTAGATTTAATGGATTTTAGGGATGCAAACATTTAATTATGTAACATATTTGAATGAAAATAAGAAATATTCACAAAAACATGACTTCAATACGGTTAAGGTTACCGTTGCATTATATGGCTGTGTTTTCTTGAGTTCAATGTATCCAAATATTCTTTATATAATACAATACATGAAGATATCATTTTCATTATTGTCACTTCAAATGTAAATATATATTATATATTATATCTGTATACAATTTTACTCTATTCTTGTTTACATTCAGATGTTTCATTTAAAAAGAGTTGTCAACACGTCACCTTGGTTCCATCGGGGCCGGCTTGACCAGCTTCTCCCTCCAAGCCTGGCTCCCCCTGTTATCACACACACACACACACACACACACACACACACACACACACACACACACACACACACACACACACACACAGGTTAATATGAATGAAGGTCTCGGAAACATTTTTTGGTAGCTTGATGCTGATAAACGTACCCTTGGTCCGATCAGTCCCTGCTCTCCGATGTTCCCAGCAAGTCCAAGAGGCCCCTGATACAAACACACACACACACACACGCACACGCACACACACACACACACACACACACACACACACAAGCGTCATTGAACAGATAATATTCACACAGTCTTTCTTGTATTTGTTTGAAATAAATCCATGTCGTTTTTGACATTACCTTGATTAAACTATGCATGCAACAGTTGATATAAAAGGGACATTTCACCTAAACTCTAAAATACTACTTTCCTTTACCTGTAGTGCTTTTCTATCAATCTAGAGATGACATTCTTGGTGTGAAACCTGAAGATAGCCGATGTTGAGATTCTGCCTTCTCTCCAGGTACATTACATTACATGACATGTTACTTGTTAGAAGCTTTTATCCAAAGCAACTTACATACTCAATACTGTGGGCAATCCCCACAGGAGCAATTTGGGGTGAAGTGTCTCAGGGACACAACGACATGCTGACTGCAGTGGGGTTTGAACCTGTGACCCCCTGATCCGAACACCAACGCACGACCCACTGCACCACACGCCCCCCCCATAAATGGATTTGGCGTGTCTTGCTTGTGGCACTCAAAGTGTTAATCTGAGTACTTCAACAGAAATGTCTCTTTCTAGATGTTCTTTTTTAGGGTAACTCTGAAACATCTGTTGGGGATTACAGATGAATAATAGCCTCTTGTCTAACTTTGTCGCATTACAGCAACTTTCATTAAAGATAATCCACAAACCTTACGGTGACGTGTTGTTTCCTGAAGGATCTATTTTTCTATATCTCAATACAACTGTCATCGTGTAGGAGGACGTGCGCATCTATCCATACACTTGTTTGAAGAAAATAGGTCCAACATAAACTGCTCACACCAAGCTCTGAGGATTATTTTGAGTTACTGGGTCATTGATTTCTGGAAAGACACATTGCTTTTGAGTTTTTCATGTGTATTTTTTGACACTTTATGCATCACCAGTCAAGTGCCATTGAGTTCCAGTATATTGAAGAGAAGGCAGACCTATAAAGCACTACAGGTAAAATGGAGATATGAATTTGATTTGATAGTGAGGTTTTTCTTTAATCTTCTAGGTAAACGTGTCATTCTTTACCTTCTCGCCTGATTCTCCTGGCAGTCCTGGTTCCCCCACCTTGCCTGGAGGACCCTTGATAAACACAGAGGATGGAAGAAATGTTAAATGATTTTGTGGAAAACACTCAGAAATACTGAGTGTTTGGCTTCAGAACAATATATCAGAGGCTGTGTTCCATTATGTATTGTCATGAGAGTCAAACAGAAACAGGACACCTTTGCAATGTGGCTTAATTAGTTACATGTGACAGATTACTTCAATCTGAGAGCGTTGTTGATGCACTGGGGTAGGGTGAACAACAGATACACATGTTTAATCATTTAGTCACACAATACCTTATGTGTGTGTCCTCATGTGGAATAGGAATGTGTGTGAGTGTGTGTTGTCAAAGTCTCTCACCTTATGACCCATTTCTCCCAAGAGTCCAACAGTCCCTGGTGGCCCTGCTGGTCCCTTTAAATGATAACACAAATATTTGAATAATAACCAGATGTAATCCAAGTGGTGGAAAGCAATGTACTTTACATGAGTATTTCCATTTTCTGCTACTTGATACCTCAGCGCTAATCATTTAGAAGCACTTTTTTTTTTTTTTGGGAGGAGTGTGTGGGAGAGAAACTCCCTCTGGAGGGAACACAGGGATTTTAGCCTTTGCAGACCATTTACATGCACACAAACCTATAGAACACTACAGGAGAGGGAGAACCCTAAAAAGCAGAATAGGGCCTCTTCAAAAAAGATGACTATGGAATAAGCCAAATGTATGATAATTACTTGATAACTTTTGGTACCTAAAGTATATGTTGTAATAACAATAATATAATTGCTACTTTTAGAATATCCTACTACTCCTACAAAACCAACTGTGTGTATTGCACCCTAATTAACATCAGACCTTCTTTAGTACGAACAATAGTGAAACATCTGGCTGATTTGTGTCCATCAGTGAAGCATCTGTACAGTTTGGCTCTGAGAGCGATGACCTGCTGAGAGACTTCTAATGCTTGGAAAACACTGACGCTCTGCCATGAATGCTTCTTACTGTCAGTGCAAATGAATGATGTTTGCTCCCCGGTTGACTTGCAGTCCAAACACTAGTGATGGCATAAGTGAAGTCACCTGTGTGCTCTTTCTTTCAATTTGCAAAGACACCTACCAGCTGGGCCCATAATGTATTGTCTCATCAGTGAAAGCAGATGTGCAGCACGACATATGAGACAATGGAGAATGATCGGGGGGAAACAAAGGTGCATTTACAATGTACTTAACGTGAGATTTATATTTAACGATAGTTCCTTGCCTTCCTTTTATCATCAGATATTTCTTAAGGGGAACACAAAACATAGGCTGATTCAAGCTATGAACGAAAAACAGTTTTGCCTTTTGGACTATTTTATACTGCAATAATGATATATTTTGGAAAGGGTTTGAGGTATTTTTTTATTTTTTTGGAAGTTGAAACTCAGCTCCTATAATAAATCTATAATAAACTGTGCAGCCAAAACAGATACACATACGTGAAAATGATCCCTTTAGCAAATATGTATACCATTTTCCACACATTGGATACATGCTATATTTCAGGTTTGGAGATTATATTCGCCCCTGTACATCTATGCAATTTTCTGAAATGTTCTCCTCTTAGGATATCAGAGCAACTTTAGAGTTTGTATTCAAAACGATCATGCAGTTAGGAATGACTGCTAAGTGCAGTCCTAACAATCCAAACAGACTTGATATCCAGTCCTTCCCATTGTATTTGTCTTTCCTTTTGCTGTGTGGAGTGACCTGTGTGAGGTGACCTGCCTTAAGCTGCCAGAGTGTGAAAGTACAAGCTTTTGCTGAAACACAAGAAAATGAGCCTGATTACATCGTACCAATGAAAGCAAAAGAGGATACCCCTCTCTATTATTGGTGACTCATCTTTTCCTATTCAGGACTCTTTGTCGTGAATTCAAAACTCTTTACATTTCTTCCTGCTCTTCTTTGTTTTATGTGACTTTAAATTGAATATATTGACTTTGGTCAAAGAAACAAAGAAGGTGGGGGGACTTTTTCATACTTTTCTGACATTTTATAGACTGCAATTCAACATTTGACTGTTTACTACTGGTATAACTGGCTGCTACTTCAGTGCATTTCTGCGTGCACATACTTTTATAATGCTGTCTCTTATATTGTCGACCTCGGATGTATACTTATGTCATTTTTATTTTATCAATGTTTTATTTTGGCTTTTACCTGCACTTTGCCATTTGCAGTAAGAATGTCAAACTTCCCGCTGTGGGACAGACGAATGATATCTGATTTAAATTCTAATTCTAAATCAGATTTGCTGAATATGGGCAGATTAATTGATAATAAAACAATCATGAGATGCAGCCTTAATGTCAAGATACTGTATGTCGTGAGTTAAGATGTGGAGAAGAGAAAGAGAGCAAGAAGATGGTCAGGTCGTACCGGCTCGCCTGATATTCCTTTGTCCCCTGGAGGTCCTGAGGGTCCCTGGATACCCTGCAGACAGTAAAAGTAGGTTTAAAAAACACATCATCTTACATTCATAATACTTTGCATGCATGCATAGCTTGTTGACTGTGATCAAATCGTTTTGGGGTTCATCTGTGTTTCTGAATCTCTTAAACTTAAAGTTGATTCATCACTATTATCATATCATTTCTATGAATAAGACAAGTGAACTCACAGGAAAACCTTTAAACCCGGATTCCCCCGGCTCTCCGATCTTCCCCTGTACGGACACAATTCAAAGGAAGAAAATATAAGTCAGGATAAAAACAAGCTATTTATGTAATAATATTATATTTCAAGTACAGACTGTTGGCCTCCCCTCAGACAAAGCTTGAATAATAAAATTCACCCGTCACCCCTCCTTAGTTTACTTGCTTACTCAACTCCTGGATGCCTATGGGCCCATGGTTAAGCTATTTGATCCCACAGACACTCAAAGATTGAGCCAAGGTCCCCTAATATTGCTGTTTGACACCCATACACATACGTATCTGTTTAAAAGCATTTATGAGTTTGGAAAAGTGGGGAACGAGCAGCATTCCCCAAAACAACTGTATCGCCGAACAATCTCTATGTGTTTTTTTAAAGATCACTTTTTGTACTTTTTAATAATCATATAGCCAAAGATAGGCAGGAGAAGAGGAGAAAGGAAACATCATTGATCAAAGAACCTGAAGTCATAATCCCCATAAAGGGAGGGAAAGAGAGTTTGAACTTTGTACCTTCACTTCTACGGAGCACTTCTTTATAAAGAAACTGTAAAAGCAATTGATTTCTTTGCAATCTTTTCTCTTGCTTTTCTTATTCCAAGTTTTTATCAACCTTTTGCTATTTGCTCTTGAGAATTCACCCCTAACAAATGAGTTTACAAAACTTCTTTGTAGATAAAGTTTAGCATTGTCAGAGAGATATGCCTGCATCATTTCCAAAAGTGGAGTTAAATGGAGTAAATCTCCTTCAGATGTGGAAATAAGTCTGCTTGTCTTGTTTGTAAATCTGCAGAAAGACGTTTCTCTCTAGTCAAATCTTCCTGTGGTCCTCCGCCCTGCTGGTATCAGTTACGTCTTCTAAATCATCCTGATGCTTTCGCCTCTCCAGAGGAACATAACAACTTACAAAATGTACAGGAGGAAGGAGAGGAAAAGTAGAAAAAGTGCTCGAGTGCTTTACCTGTGGTCCAGGGAAACCTATTTTTCCTGGAGGACCCTCAGAGCCCTGTGGAGAGAGGGAAGGATGAGAGAGAGCTTTGTGCTGACACATCACTTCACTGGATACTTCCTGCCTCCTGATAGGATGGAGGAGATGTGCAGCTCTCTACTTTTGGTGCAAAAGATACATTTATCTCTTAAGAATACACTGTGTATGCTGGAGGATATCATTTACACACTAACATTCTATATTATTGTCATTATGTTTGTGTACGCACAGTTTGATTTTGTAAATGTTTCTAGGAAATGTCAGTATATGCATGAGATAAAGTGAGATTTCTTACCGCCTTGCCCTCTAACCCCATCTCTCCTGTTGGACCGTCGGGCCCTATCGCTCCCTGAAACATAAGACAGCTGTCACATCACCAACAGAGGTCACTGTAACACAGCCAGACAGCTGTAAACAAACATCTCTGTGTACTGTACTGCATTCAGGCCAACACGGCCCCCTGTCAGAGGCAGTGACCGGCTGTAAACTACACTTTTCCGGGGTCATAAGGAAGTCATGTGTGTATAAATGTGTGTGTGAAAGTGAGTGTGCACAGAGGGACAAGATTAATTAATAACTACAAGTACATTTGCTCAAGTACTGTACTAAAGCACACTTTTTGACATAATGTACTATGAGTATTTCCATTGAATACACATTAGCTTTCTGCTAATCCACTACATTTCAGGGGAAACTATTGCACTTATAAGGCACAACCTGTATTTCACACCACTCGTTAGTGTTTACATTAAAAAACATGCTTATATAACATAAAACATATGTATATATTTATCGACCCAGCAGTATGCAAAGTAACTGAAATTGTTCAGATGTAGACAAAACTAAAAGTGCTTATTTAACCTGTAGTGGTGAGTGATAACACCAACAAGATCAAACATTCTCTGATTAAAATACTTAGACAATGTGCGTAGTAACCTTCTATATTATATTTGATTAATATCTTTTAAGGACACTTTACTGATAATACTTCTGTAACATTACTTAAGTAATATTTTTATAATTGTTTTTCTTGTGACCAATATTAGTTTTTCAATGGCATGTGGCGATAATTAGAGAATAGAGCAGGTTGATAGATGTGTTATTTCTTTTCCATAATAAAATAAAACAATTTAATGAATTTGAACTTAAATTTACATTTATTTATCGATGGTTTTCCTACTTTTACTTAAAGGTGGGGTAGGTGAGAAACCGGCTCCCTTGCCCTATTTTATTGTATTATTTGAATTCCTCTTTCTACAAGTATATTGCACAATATTTTCATCAATATTTAGCTTTTGTGCATATGATAGTAAAACCTTTTTAATCTTTGATTCTAAAGGGTGTCACTCCTATACACACACACACACACACACACACACACACACACACACACACACACACACACACACACACACACTGTAAGAACAGTCTGACCGTTTAGATTACATGGGTGCGACTGTCAAACAAGATACATCTGCAGTGCTTAAAGGCTGCCAGTGCAGAGCAATGATAATAAATGGTAGCCATCTGCTCTGGACCTGCAGCTCCGCATCCACACACTGGAAGATGCTGGCTATCTGACATGAATCACAGCTACCAGAGATTATAAATAACAAGATTTTCTTAGTAAAAGAAAGAAAATATAACATGACACAGCCACACAGGCAGCCTTTTTGTGTGAGTGTGTGATGACCGGGCACACGGGGAGTAAAGCTGAAGGGATATAAGCCTATTATACGTAGAGCGGGATAAGCAACGCTCATTAACATTCCTGTCTGGGGTACCTGCTACCCACTGCGAGCGTTTACATAACCGGATTAACCGCTGGTACCAGGCCACGGAGAAAAACACTATCACTCAAGTACAAGGCCTTACAGTTAATTAATTGCACCTTGATTTGTAGCAGAAGTTTCAAACAAAGGCAGAAAAGGCGCAGAAGCAGGGGCATTTGAAAATAATCAGAAACATCTATATTGACTAGTTCAATAATAAACACATGAGATGAATATGCTCCTCAATATGGAGAACATCAGTTGAAGATTTGTCGGCCAAACATGAGTGGTTATTAGAAGAAAAAAAAAGCATGAATAGTAAAAAGGATTTGTCATGGCTGACAACCATTCAAATGTTTTTTTTAAACAAAAACACAGAAAAACAGAGAGAAGAGGGTGGTGGAAGTACTCAGATCTTTTTCTTAAAGGGACCATATTATGCTCATTTTCAGGTGTGTATCAGTATTGTCTGCCTCTAATGTCTCCCTGCTTTAATGTTCAGAAAGCTCTTTATTCTTCTCATACTGCCTGTGCTGCAGCACCTCTTTTTACCCTCTGTCTGAAACCAGAGCCCAGTCTGCTCTGATTGGTTAGCTGGCCGGCTCTGTTGTGATTGGTCAACCGCTTAGAGATGTACAATGTGTTGGAGCGCTAGCCAATAGTAGTGTAAGTGNCTCTTTATTCTTCTCATACTGCCTGTGCTGCAGCACCTCTTTTTACCCTCTGTCTGAAACCAGAGCCCAGTCTGCTCTGATTGGCTAGCTGGCCAGCTCTGTTGTGATTGGTCAACCGCTTAGAGATGTCCCCCCCCCTTATTAGGTACTATGTTTTGGAGTGCTAGCCAATAGAAGGGGGATTGTTTTATGTGATGTCGCTGTGTTCAGGAAGTAAACAAAGGAGTCCAAAGGAGGCGCTTCAGGCAGGGAGGGGGGGGGGGGNGGGGGGGTAGTGTGTGGGAGAAACTCTCTCTGGAGGGAACAAATGAGTTTTAGCCTTTGCAGACCCTATACAAAACACTTCAGGAAAGGCAAAACCCAGAAAAAAGCATAACAGGGCCTCTGTAAGTTGCAAGAAATGGAAATAAAACACTGGTACTTCGCTTATGTAAATGCACTTGTTTGTACGCTTTTATCTCTGACTCTACAGTTTTTCCATGTTAGAAAACATTCTGGTGCCAATGTTTCTGAGAGCGAGGCCAGATGTTACATTGCTGACAAGATTAAAGTGCATTCCTTGAGCCAAGTGCTAAAAGACACATGGTGTTTAAGTCAGTGTAAAAGTTGTACAGCCTCTGTTTTCTTCAGAGTTGAACTCATTTTATGAATGACACATTCCCTCATGGTGGACATTCTCTCAAAAGAGCTGTCTGTCTCCAACTATGCTATGTCTCAATTTGTGTTTTACACTTCCTATTTTGAGCGCATAAGTTAGTTCACATAAGTGTGACAAAATACAATGCTAGTACGCAGATGGTGAACTCATACATTCAAATTGGAAATTGGAACACTGGAAGGGCAGGGACTAACAAACGCTTAGAAATGGCAGCATAGAAAGCGGTTGCTACTGAAAACACAGGACTGCAATTAATACAATTATCAATTTGTCAGAAGAAGCTGTAAAAGAAGAAGAAAAAGAAGCAGAGGAAGAGGTAAAATGTTGTAATATTTTGTGTAAGGGCAGAGCCTTGTTCAATTTGAAAACAGAAGCCTGATGAATGTTATGCACTATGCAAGTACCGGTAAGTTCACAGTGTACTACACAGATATAAATATACAAATGGGAACACAGCATTATATTTTAAAGGGTTTAGTTTTGATGTCCTTTATCAATCATTTTTGGTCATTTTCTACATCGAACAAAGCAGAGTTTTGTTTGTCCAGACGAGTGATGGATTCATGAGAACTCAAATTCTTTCTTGTGCTGACTGTGTGTGGTTGGGGCAGCGGGGGTGAGACATGGTGCATATCTGTGGCTGCACACATTTACTGAATGTCTGAAAGAAACACCTCGACATTATGTCCTCTGGCTCTCTCCACTCTGGACTACCCAACAGACTGTGGGTAATGGAGCAGCAGGCAGCAGTATTGGCACTGGGAGCTTTCAGTTTTAATTGGAAACACAGTTTGAGACATTAGAATGCCTCAGCCAATCACAGCGAGGCCCGTCTCCCATGGACGTTCAGATAAAGCTCAATGTTGTTTTATCCCACTCTCCAGCTGGCTCAGTGCACCACATAAAAACATCTCTTAAAAGCCTTTGAAATAGTTTGGTGACACAACTGAACTTAAAAAGAGAGTACATAAAGAACAGAGATGTGTCAAGCTGACCCCAAAACATGAATTCTATTGTGTCCTGCTCCATTTTGCCTAATTGTCATTACATTGTCCTTTTTTATTAGTTATTGCCACTTCCTTCTCTGAATACCGTTGGGGAGCATTTGGTTTTCATTTAAATTCCAGCTGCTTGTTTTGACGACTTTAGTTGTATGCAATTTCACTTTTGATGTTAATTTGATTTGACTAATCATAGGTGGTTACTGGTGTATCTACAGTTTATTCATTTTAGGTTGACATATTTATTTCCCAAAGCATGAAAAGCACAGGTGTAATAAATACAACTGATAGGAGTGCCTGTGTTTCATTTGCATGGAATGCAGTCATATTTAATATGATTAGTTATACCTGGAACTGACAACAACAAGGCCAAAAAAACGAATGTGGTCCCAGCTGTGTGCATCACTTTTTAGTGTCCCCATTTTCATTATGTTTTGAGCATCTTGCAGCATTTAGTTTTTGGCCGATGTAACACGTTTGTTCCTGTCCGCCACCGTAGACAACTCTGCGATAAATGGAGTATCTGATTTTAACTTCACAACGTAACCATATCATCTATCTGAAAAATACAGTGACTAAGGGTACAGGTACAATGGGTTTTCAGTGTAATGCTAATGCTAAATGAGCAATTGAATCAGGCTGATACTACTGTGAATAACCCAATCATATGGTCTGAAAGTCACATCATCATCTACGTTTTGCACATTTAGGAACATCTAAAAACCAAGTTGTTCTGTCACAGCTGATTCTAATCTGAAAGCTGCCATTGTGGTATTTATGAATGATGTTTTATGAGTTTGAAACCAATAGTTCAATCTTTGCTTTGCTAATCCCCCCCATAAATTATGTCCACTCATATTTATCTGCAAAGCAACTTCAAGAATAGCTACATTTAGAATGTCATGGACAGAACAGGCTTCAGATCTCTTTTTTACATGTCCTTCTACTCGTAGTCATTGTTCCATCTATGTGGAATAAAATCATGGCTGGAGCTCTTCCTGGTGTTAATGAGCGCTGACTTGAAAAAGGATGAAACAGACTCGTGCTTTTACTGTGAACCCGAGAGTGTGTTTTGCAAGCACCCATGTCCATTAAACACACACGACCTCAGTTCAGAGGCAGTTCCATATCACTTCATTATGTTCACCCTCTCAAGTTTTTCCAGCGGCTCAACAACAGCAGTGGCACATGGCTCTTATTACAGCAAGTCTTTTACCAAGTATATGCTATGTTCTTGAAGGGATATCTTGGATGTGTTAAAGTACCGGTTATGCAAGATTTTGATCTATAGTCAGTGTATTACCTACATTAGATGGAGGCACGCGTCCAGTGTGGGGAAACAGTTGAAGCATTCATTGAAGCAAGACAGCCTATGGGATTGACTTGAAATAAACCAAAGACGTCATGTTCATTATTAAGAGGAAACATGCCATTACCTGTGACAGTGACAATCATTGATGTGATAGATTTACTTTTTTAAAATACGGCAACTTAATTGTTACCGTGGTTTATCTGTTTTTATTTTATTAACGTGTGCTTGCCTCTATGTATATGCTCTTACATTTGATCTGTGCGGTACGTTTGCCGTTGTAACTCCTCTGCAGGACAATTTACTGCTGTAATGCATATTTTAGCAAATAAAATAAATATCAGTTTAAGTGTATTATTATTTTTTTTCTATAATATTATTACTACTATACCTTTTCAGACAGCATTTTTCAATAGGAACTGAAGCACTTATCTATGCTCTTTTCAAAATGACCAGACTCCATTGATAAAAACGCACATTCTTCCTGGTAGAAAATGATTTTCTGCCTCAATTGATTCGTGTGTATGTGTAATTGTGTGTCTTTAGTGAATCCAAAACTAACCCTTTAAAACACTCACTCATGTTCCTGTTGCTAGTTCAATATAACACCTGAATTGCACAACTTGGATCAATAAAGAATTATTTGATCTTATCTTGTCTTCTCCATGTTGCCTTACCTTTTCTTATGTGACCCTCCTTAAACACATCCATACCATCCCTTTAATTAAGGTGAACTATGATACACTTTCTCCAGAACCACAGTCAACAGTGAAACTGCAGAGACCCACAGCGGTGTGAAACCTACCCGTAAGCCTTTGGGTCCTCTGGTACCGGCCGGCCCCCCTGATCCAGCAGAGCCCTGGTGAACAAAGGAAAAAGGGGGGATGAAGAGAGGAAGAGAGGAAGGGGGTCGGGGGAGGAAGGAGAGATACAACTCAGGTTCACACTGACAGAGCACAGAGCCCCCTGGTTGTTGACCCGGGGGGGCGGGCTGACCTCGGGAACACACTACAGGGTTTATTGTTGGATCCGCCACTCACACCAATTAAAGAGCCTGCCCCGGAATCCCGCCCCGCTGCACCCCCCCACAGCCCGTATTTATGTTTGTTTTGGTAAAAAAAAATGTTTATGTTTGTTTTGTGCCCCCCCCCCCCCTCATGCTCAGCCCGCACTCTGTCAAACCTGACCGTGGCAAGGACACCGAGGGAGGGGGTGGGGGGGCAGCTTCTAATTGGTTGTAGGTGTTGCTCTTTTGGCTGACAGCAGGGTAATGCAGGTTCAGCAGGAGGCTGCCAGTTCTCATAACGCTCAGAGAGACCCTCCCCACTGAGAACACTACACACTGTCATCGGAAACATTCTGGAGACCCTCAAAGACAGCTTTGTTCAAATATTAGAATTTGAACCAGTCATGTTTGACACTTTTCCTTAAAACAGCCGTACTTGCTAATCCAGACAAAACTAAAAAGTGGTTAACTGTACATCTCATTGATGGGCTATCATCTGCAAACATTACAAAGCAAAAAGTAATGGGATAAAAGTTCAACATTTTGCAAAAAATGTATCATTATATATATATATGGCACTTTTTTTTACATTTAAATGTTTATGTTTCTAAAATATTCATCTAAAAAGATACCACAGATTGTCAAAGAGTTTTGTTCAAACGCTAAACTTGTACTTAACGCAATGCTTCTGCTACTCCGGACAGAAATGTATTGTTGATAACAGCTCAATAATGTCGATAATTTACAAACATTATAAAGCAGATAATAATGGAGTAAAAGTGCTAAATTGTGCAAATAAGGGGAGATATTCTACTCTTTTACTCTTCCAATCTTTTCAGAGGGGAAGGGGGGACACACACACATGGATCGCAAAGCCGTTTCTTTGTGCATGCACCATTGCTCTATTTTATGTCTTGTTTTTATTTCTAAGGGAGAGTCTATTATATCTTGCATTGGTAAAGGAGGCTGGAAGTTATTTTATGATAGCCAAAAATGTGCTAAAGAGTGGTGACTTACTGGTCTTCCTGGTGGTCCGGTTGGCCCGCTCCCCCCTGGTGTCCCTGGGTGACCCTGTCATAGGAACACACACACACACACACACACACACACACACACACACACACACACACACACACACACACACACACACACACACACACACACACACACACACACACACACACACACACACACACACACACTAACTACTACACACGAACACGACGACACACACACACACACGACACACACACACACACACACACACACACACACACACACACACACACACACACACACACACACACACACACACACACACACACACACACACACACACACACACACACACACACACTACGACAACTACTACTACGGACACACTAACTACTACACGGAACACTACACACACTTACACACACACACACACACACACTTACACTACACACACACACACACACACACACACACACACACACACACACACACACACACACACACACACACACACACACACACACACACACATTACAACTGACACAAAATATCATGCAAATGGTACTATTATTCTGTCAAACATCAAATGTGTAATATACAAACTAATTCTATGTACGTGCACTGCAAAAATGATATGCAACTGATGATGCACTGTAGAAATCCTGCCTGTTCCACTAAAACAGGTCTGTTATGAGGATATTCTGATTGACATAATGCCTCAAACAATTATATTGCTGTTCTGTATTGTTGTTTTTGACAAAATTACAAAACAATGACATTTAAGTGTCAAAATAAAAATAGAAAGGTAATAAATTGGATTTTAGTCGCACACACACAAAGCACAAACACACAGCTGCAGAAAAGCTCTGCACCCTGGAGAGCAACTCTACTGTAACAATAAGAGCCGTGTGGAGAAGAGAAAAACAGACTGAGGACATGATTTTATATCTGAAAACATTCCGCTTTGGGCTGCTTTTCTTTCTTCTTTTTATTGGACCTCACTCTTGACTATGTAATGGGGAGTATTCTCAGTCAGATCAGCTGAGTGCAATAACAATCTGTCCACAGTGAAGACCCATAGCACAGCAAGCCGCTCTGATCTCATGAAATCGTGAATGCTTGTAATATGTCTGCTGGCTTTGTATGATGCAGACTTTTCCAGGGGGTCTGTTTCTGTTTTAAGAGAGCAGGATAAATGTGTATTGAGTTTGCTACGCCTTGTGAGAAATGGAACTGTCAGTCAGTATGAAAATTCTCTCTGTTTCCTGAGGTTGATGACTTCAGGTTAATTCACTTCAGTTGGGAATTCAGTACACCTGAAACTGTCGACATCTGACAAAGACAGGGCCATTTAAAGGGCCAAATAAAGGTTGTTTGCACTATTTGAAAGAGCAAGGTGTGTGACAGCCCATGAAAGACAAGACCTGGAGGAAAACTGCGATGCCCTGCAGACTGAAGGTCAAATGTGGATGCATGTCTTTAAATAAATCCCAATCATTCTTTGATTCTTTATTCTTAAAAATGCAAATGCAGGGATTCTACCTCTTTGTAAACATCCAATTGAAGGACTTTTCAGGCAACATTCCCACACATGAAACTACTAAGCACTGCATAGATTCAAACATAGATCACGTAAATAACTGCAACAGCACTGAGCATTTTTTATAATGGCCCATGCCGATTTCTGTGTAAAGTTTCAAGGTCAAACGATTCTAGTGGCATTGGTTTCACAGAACAATAATGTAGCAGTGTCCGTGGATTTTAAATATTTTCATGGAGATAAATGATTGGACGTTATCCTTTCAAACGTTTTTCTCTTTTGTTTGAATCAATGTTAAGACTTTTCCAGGTAAAGATCTCCCGCCGCGTGCTTGAGGTTAGAAAACCTGCTCCAGGCATGAGGTGATGTGCCTTCTTTCCACTTTGGCTTATTCTTGTATGTGCACACTTTGTTTTGGATTGACCAAATCCCACATCACTTTATTCCCATGGGAATAACACACACAGTTTAGTTTGAGATGAGCATTTCTTGTGATTTTTTTAATGACACCTTAGCCAGAGAATAACGTATACACTCATCAATGAAGCTATCAAGCTCCACTCTCATGACTCTAGCTCTTTGTGTCTTACCAGTGATCCTTTTTCTCCAGCAGGTCCAGGATGGCCCATCTCTCCTCGATCACCCTAAACACACCAAAGTACACACTCAGACTTTACATGATGGCACCATCCAGAAATAGTAAGTCTAAAAGTGCAAATGAGAATTTATTTATTTCTAAATATGTGCTACATTTCATACAATTTTGGATCAGAAATCTAAACATTGGATAAAACCAGGTTCAAAACTCTGCCTTATGCAAAATAAACATTTATATGTATTTTTGTATTTGTTTTCTTTCCAGAAGTCCCAAAGAACACCTTAAGAAAACCCAAACTCTTTAATCCCCAAATTCAACAGTGCATGAAAAATAAATATGTTTTCTGTCGTGTCTTGACTTAAATGAAATAATTTACAAGGAAACGCAAAGTTATTTGACCTTCTCTCCTGCCAGTCCTGCCTCTCCCACAGGTCCGATGAAACCCACCAAACCCTGAAACACACACACACACACACACACACACACACACACACACACACACACAGTTGGATGGTTGAATGGATTGACATTTTGAAAAAAATGGAAGCCGGCTCAGTTTGATTTCTTACTCGTTCTCCCATGGCTCCGACTAGCCCTGTAATACCGGTTTCACCCTGCAGAGATATAGCAAGGCATTTCGTTTACAATAATTCAATCAATACTGTTAACATTTTGTTTCAAAAGAGTAAAAATCACATGGACTTTACTCACCTTGACTCCCTCTGGCCCAACCTTCCCAGGAAATCCTTTTCTGCCCATTCTACCCTGACAACGGGCAAAGAAGAAGGGTAAATAATGAGAAAAACACTTCATGCGACATCATATAACCTCAGTTAATATAAAGGATGTGCTTCCTGTGAGAGGACAGTTTGAGGAGGCAGAGTGCAGCTGCAGAACATCGGACAGGACCGTCTGGTTCAGGTGATGCTGACTGGACCTTTGTGTTCAGTGACCATGTTCCGCTTTCACAGACGGTAATTCCCGGGGTTAAGATAAGTGCTTTTTTCAGCAGCAATAACTTTGAGTCAGAGACGCCAAGAGACGGAGTGACTCAACCATTCCAGTTGAGTTTAAAGGTTTGGCAGTGATCAGAAGACAGTACAGGCTAACACTGTATTTATCTCACACTGCAGTAAAAGTTCATTATTGGAGTAACCTGATAATTGATATGAGCTGTCCAGGATCTTCTTATCACGACTGACCGTGTCAAACAAATAAAGAAACTCAAGTCAAGTGTATTAATGTTAAGTTGACCATGGGTGTATTATAAGACAATGGCCGACTTGGCACAGACATTTAAGGCCCTATTTCCTACTTAGCTTGGTCTTGTAATTGATTAAGTGACTATGTGTGGTTGTTTTGCCACTTTTCAGATTTGTTCGATACTCTTTGTGTTTCTTTGTAACTTTTTTGCATTTCTTCGTAGTCTTGGTGTCACTTTTTACATCTTTCATTCACTCTTTGTCACCATTTGAATTCTCTTCGTAGTTTATTTGTGTCTGTTTATTATTTTGTCACTATTTGTGGTTTCTTTGCACCTATTCATTGTCATTTTGAGTCAGTTTGCAGCTTTTTTTCAACTGTTCGTAGCCTCTGTATCTGTTTGTAATCTTTTTGTGTCTCTTTGTAGTCATTTGATTTGAGTCTCCTGCTGGTTGGTTTGTATCTTTTTGAGCGACATCATTGCAGACCAGGACAAGTGAACATCACAAATAAGTGAGTACAATAACAACAACAAAGGCCACACAAAAACAGAAGATAGAAATGGAACAAATATTAAAACATGTGTCCAAATCTGAAACAGAAACATGATAACCATTGTGAGAAAAAAAAAAAATACTAACATTTTAAATCTAGAAACCAAACCAAAGAACATGGAAAGGATGTACGTCTTAAGTTTTGTCTTAATAGTGTCAAATGAGGAGGGACATTTGGTCAAAAGAGGAAGGTTATTAGAAAGCTTTGGAGCTGCAATCGCAAGGTATTCTTTACCGCTGGTTTTTGATTGTTGAACAGTTGAAATCAAATTTTCTGAGAATATAAGAGGTCTGCGAGAAATGCACCACGACAAAATGGATGAGGAGCAACAAGGAACGATGAGGGAGATGGTTAAAGAAAGACAGATAAAAGAGGGGGTGTCATTGATAGCAAAGCAGTGAAGCTAAAAGGCAGCTGGAGGTGGAGGAGTAGCATCAGGCACCTGGCCAGAGATCAATCACTGCTCCTGGAGGAGTCATACACCACTTCCCCTCAGATGGGGATGGAGGAGGGAGTGGGTTAGAGGGGGGGGGGGGAGTATAAAGTGACTGCGAGTAAGAAAAATAAAAGCTAGACTGATAAATACACATTACAAATTTAGAAGAGTACAGTTAAAAGCATGTCTACAATTGTAATGGTCAGTTTTCTTTGCCCTTCATTGAAGCGAGAAATTAGAAATAAAGTCAACAAAGCTTGTATTTCTGCAGTGACACATTCAAATCTGCCAGCACTTTATGGCCGCTATAAATCTTGCCACCTATAAACATGGTGATGGCAGTTATCACCCCCTGGTGGACGGGAATATGGATTGCACACGGTCCTGCGCTGTGAATGGACGATCGTCTGGAGGCAGGACATAATAAGAACCTCCATAAAAACTCCAGCTATACATATCTGCAGGAACAACCCTTTATGACCTCAAATAAAATCCAGATGAACTCTCACTGTGACGCAACAAACTCTGGGATGCACAATTAAAATTAAATAATGAAATGATGCGGCTTACTGTGTAGTGGACCGAGACTGGTTTACAGTAAGCTGTATATGTTATCACACTGCAGAGTGAAATGATTGGCTTTTACTGCAGACTAGGTTGCTCACAGCATGCTAAGTGGGTTAGTTGAGCATGCAAACAGATTTAAATTCAAACTGAAGCTCATAGACTGAGATATTTCTGTCCCTTTCCTGTCCTCTCTGACTTTTTTTACTTTACTGTACTCCAAAAATCCGGTGTTCCATCGAATTTCATGCAGAACAATCTTACGCTTTTGTCCCTTTTATCCAATTAGTTTTATTTTCTCCTTGTTATTTTCATGTATTCTTCTTTTAGTTGATAAATTAGCTAATTTGCCCTAGATTTCTTTCAGCTGTCATTTGCACTTAAATATTTCAGATGTTTTTCTGTTTTTGTTACCTCACAGTAAGTTAAAAAGCTCTGCGGAGTGTTTCTGAGTGATGCAGCTCACTGCTCATGTTGTTTAGTGCCTTTTTATTACGTAGTTGGTCAATTATTGATATTTGCAAAGTGTTTATTTATGCTAATCAACTGTCAATGTTTAAAAATTGTCCCCGCCACTTTGTACACAGGTCTTTGATATATCAAGCCAATAAAGCTTATTTGCATTGAAACAGAGGACACTGAATGAAACCATAATGATGCACATAGGTTTGATTGGCCTGAATAATAACTGAACTGACAGGGGTGCACACACAGACCATCACTAAACACACACTACACTAATACTACACTAGTGATCCTGGTGGTCTTCACATATCCTCTAACTCACCTCCAGTCCTGTTGGGCCCGGTGGTCCGATCGGGCCCTCGTCTCCCTGGAAACAGATGATATTGATCTTAGCATGAATTATGTTTGGGGACATAAAGAAGAGCCTGGTGCCGTAAAAACGTTAACGTCCTTTGGTGCTCTTGGGTCGTTGTGATGTGGGCGGTGACTTACCTCCGAGCCAGGCACTCCTCGTGGCCCCGGTAAACCTCGGAGCCCCAGCTTTCCCTGGAAGGGGAAAAAGCAGGAAAAATATTGCTAATGTTTAAATAAAATAAAAAATGTAAATGTGGTAATGACACAGATGTTTTAACCAAGAATAGTGTGTCCGTCACAGTTGGTCCACTACTTTGGTCCGGACTGAAATAAATATATGAAATATATATAACATCACATTTCACAGAGCTGCTATCATGACTGCAGTCTCTTGCTCTTGTTCTGCTTTATGTTTTAAAACCTTCACCAGTTGATGCTCACCTTTGGTCCTTCAAGGCCGTTCTCTCCCGGTGGTCCCATGTCACCAGGAAAACCCTGTCATGATCAATGATACAATCAGTTTTGTATTGTCTCCCTGTACAGACTCAAACATTTAAAGCAGGGATGTTCAAACAAACCTCGGGACCTGGAGGTCCAGATGCTCCAGCAGGGCCTCTCTCTCCCAGCTTTCCCTGCGACAAAAACAGAAGAGAACATAAGTAATGTCTTTAATGAATAATTGTATATTTGATAAGAGTTGCTTAAATCCCTGTATTGCATATGTGTGCATTATAAGACTATAGAGCTTTAGTGGTGCTAGAAGGTGTGTTTTGTTCACTTTGAACAGAGCCAGGCTAACTGTTTCCCCTTGTTTAAAGTCTTTATGCTAAGCTAAGCTAACCTTAACTGTATGGATGGACACATACAATGTTGTAGGTCTTGTTCTCTAATTCTTATTCCCCAAATCCTTTACATAACAACACTCGATTGAAAGTGAAACCTTTTATTTGTATTTATTTAAACACTTTAGTATTTATTGAATTTATTCATACAGTAGTAAATCTACACCAAAACGTACAAAAGCAAAGAAAGGGATACAGTTTATCTAGATAACAGTTGTATTTGCTTATTAAAACTTTCTACAAAATAAACACAATACAAAAGTTGTCTTTAATTCCAAAAATAATCATTTTTTTGTTAAATGTGTCTACTTGAGAATAGAACAAATATTAGCTGTACTTTATTTAGACACTTTCTATGTTTTAGTGGGCATTTCTGTGAGCATGGAGATTATATATACCTTATTCAATATTGTTCATTCAAATGAATTCATTAGATTTTTCATGTAAAAGTGACTACAGTATTTACATGTGGTGGAGCCTGGGTTTATTTGAAAGAGTTGCCTGTTATCTATGTCACAATGGATACCTTGTCTTTCATCTACCTACAGGTACAAGTAAATAACCTGAACCGTAGTACTCAATTCCCTCTATCCCAGAATGGATCTAATTCTTGGCCAATAAATCATTCGATTTTCTGATTAAATTCCCTCCATGCATTTGTCATGTATTTCTACTCATTCAAACCAAAACTCACCTGTGGTCCTGGTTTTCCTTGCACCCCTGGTAACCCCGGACCCCCCTGGATGCCCTGTAAAACACAAACAAGACATAATAAAAACTACAGATAGAATTCAGAACCCTGATTTCTTTCTCAGGGAATTAGAAAACATTCCACATGCACGACTCTGCTCAGTGTTCCTGTTATCTCCTGGGATCTCTGCTCTCTGATGCTAAAATGTCTGAGACTGCTTACACAGAGAGACAAAATGAGGAGGTTTACATAAGAATTTCCGTAAACTGCACAGCACACATCTGGCTAAGTCGTTATGCAAAGGAACAGTGGCTTTGGTAAAGAGAGCATCTATTTTATCACCGTGTAGATAAACAAGAATGTTCTTCTTCTCAAAAAGAAACTTAATATGAATGTTCATAAATCAGTTTGATTCCATGCTTTATTTTAGTCAAGATTGGAAGAAACATTGCATGCTGTATTTACTCTTTTTGGAAATAATATGTTCTTTTAAAGAACAAATGGTCGGGAACCAAGCCAACCTTCACACACTTTTTCAATGAATTCAAACAATATAGCACAATCTTATATCATGTCACACAAGAAAGCTAATAAGACCTAAAAGTAAATAAACAGATTTAATTTAAATTAACATTAACTATGGCATAATAAAATGTCAATGTATTTTTTTCCGTTTGTATTGTTTTGTTTGTACTTTTGCATTACTAAGACCCAAAGGCTTTAGTGTCATATTCACAATAGCTCAAGTACTGTGGCCGACAGGTGCAAACGTGCTACAACGGCCAAACACAATTCAATTAGGGGGAATCACTGCAGTTTCATAACCGATACAAATAAAGAAGAAATGGCCAACTTTATAATCCTGATCATCACAAACCGCTCCGGTCCCAGCTGTGTGCGTCACTTTTTAGTGTCCCTTGGCTTCCGTTGTGTTCTAAGCTTTTGTCAGCTTTTTTCGCTTCTTCATTTGAAGGGGTTTCGCACAAAGTTTTGATGTATACAACATTTTTAAAGCTGCAGCACGTTTTGGCCTAATGTAAGCGTTAGCACCTGTAGGCCACCGTACTATAGAGTAGTTTTGGCCATTCAAATCTTAAGTCCCAAGCTCCTTGAACAATGCAACATAACGTATATAAAAATAAATCAATAAAAGTTATGTTAGAAGGAAAATGAATACAAATAAAATAGTGCAAGAGAATGTTGCAGGTGACCAATGTGCAGATAATAAGATGGTAAAAACAGAAAAAAAACAAAGGCTGTGTAACACCCTGAAGTGTGTTTTGGATGCAGCATGCAGGAGAGTGTGTGTGGTTGAACTTTTATGACATTCAAACATGGTAAATGTTGCTTTAGCGACCTACCTTGTCTCCTCTGTACCCGATCTCCCCTTGCTGTCCAGGAATCCCAACTTCACCCTGACGTAGAGAGAGGAATGAAGAACATTAGGAAGAATTGTAACTTCCTACTTCCTCGATCACATTCAGCCTCCTTAACAGACTTTACTAATTACACGCTCTGTACATGATAAACACTCACACACAATGAGACTTGTTCATTAGCCAAGTTCTTCATGTGGCATTAATCTGTTTTATGAAAGGCTCTGATGGCCTTCATGTACACCCACATGTCTTTTGGAATAAACCAGCATTAAACAGTAATTACAGTCAAATGATTAATTCAGCGTGCATGAGTAGCTTTCTTACAGATCTAAAGTGCTTAATGTGGGTGTATCCAACAATTCAGATCATTATTAGAAGATCAATCTTGTTTTAAAACAAATTCAGTGGTAGGATCTTGTCTCTGCAGGATATCCAACAAGCGTATTTTTCAATTCGACACAAGGTTCCATGCTCGTTGCACTAAAGGAAAATCATCACACAATGAAAGTCATAGAAATGCCATAAGAAGAATACATATTAGTGGGAAGTAAATCACAAATCTCATGCTTAATGTGAGTTTAAAACATCATCAGAGGTTTGTATTTGTTTGGTTGAAGGTATGACTGAATGAAAGCATGCTCTACTGTATGTCTAAAGGTTAAACAGAGGGGGCTACAGTCGGATGCAAAGGAGTACATATCCATCACATGCTGCTCAAACACAGGCCAATAACAGGAATATTCAGATCACCTTATCACCTTTCAGTCCTGGTTCTCCAGGATTTCCCGGCACCCCCTGAAACAAAAGCAACACATAAGTAAGAAAAGGACCCCCAAAGCCAGACTTCAACTACAATTCAGTCTCAATGGTAGGTTACTAAAATCAGTCTCCAAAAGTGCTTATCTGCAATTCTATTGGACTGGATAAGGCAAGGCGAACAAGTTTTGATGAATAGATCCTTTATTGATCCCAGGAGGGAAATGGATATAAAATAAAGCAATAAATTGCCCTCGTATTTGGGGTTGTTTGTATGATCGTTGTTAACATAACTGTGTGGATGTTGTATTGCAGCTTTTGTATCCTATTTTGTGCAGATTGGACAATGTAAATTGGAGTTATAACAAATTCCTGTTCCATGGCAAATAGTGAAATATGGCCGCCATGACACGGGAAGGTTATTCTAATGAAATTAAAGACATTAAAAACCTTTGTTCATGAAGGTTTTACTGCCAATATTTAAAGTTGATCAGGTTTTTCTGTAGAAGCTGTTTTTTGCTGTACACAACCTGTAAAAGCCAAAGAATTTAGATTTGAATGTGAAAATTTCAAAATGTCACAATAAAATCAAAATGGCCCCAAGTGTTTCCCCTATATACAAATAGTGGCGGCGCAGCGCCGCTGCTGAAATATGAGCGCCGCTGCTAGGGGGCGCCAGCCAGGTACCAAAAACAAAAACAAATGTTTTTTTTCATTTTTGATTGTTTGTTATGTGGATTTGTAGTATTTGTGTTACTGTATGTTCAATAAAGATGTATTTGTGCTAAATCTTGAGACATTGCCACTGTATGTACTAGGCAGGGCCAATTTCTGGCATAGGCGACACAGGCGGTCGCCTAGGGCGCCAGATCTGGGGGGCGCTGCGCTGGTAGCTTTGGGAGGGAAAAAACATTTTTGACCGTTGGCGCTCATCCAAATTTTCGGCCTTGATGTAACAACATTCATAATTAAGTAAATGTAACACCCTTTTCACCCCGGTTACACGTTTAATTTGCCCTGTACGGTGGGCGCTGTAAGTGATGAAAGTGGGGGATGTTGGCTTATCAGGCGCCCGCAGCTCACAGCCAAAGGGCGAGCGTGGTAGCGAGAGAGCGAGCAAGGGAGAGGGCGCACAGTACCGGCGCTGTTGTTATTAGAATCTGGTGCTAGCTGCGCTAACGGATATAAGAAGTAGATGTTTCTACAACCAGGGTGGAGGAGAGCTCTCCTGTCAGACTGAGAGGCTCAGTGAGGTAAAGCACTGAGTATTTAGATAGTTAATTTTAGTCTAAGTTATCTCAGTGGGTCTCAAACGTTTTGATCACAAATTATGTAAACACATATTTCCAAGGCACTCCTTTATAATTATTAGGATAAATAAAAACAGGTTTGAAATCATTCCAATGTATACTATAGTAACCAAAAATATATTTTAAAGTTGGAGAGATACAAAAATATGCATAAATAAATAAATAAATGTTAACTAGGTAAAATAAGATATGAATGAACAACAAAAATAAAATAAGCTACATTTATTTGTTATTGGCTATGGTAGGTTATTGGTTATGTTCATCATACTTATTTGATTATTAAAATGTAAACCGATCTCTAGTAATTATGTGCTCAAAGTGCACCAGATTGAAGCATTTTAATGTAAAATGTTAAAAAAAAAATCTTCCCGGAGGGGCATACCCCTGGACCCCCCTAGAGGATGTGACGTCCACCCCCCAATTCAAACGTGTTCATACAATACTGAATACATTTGAAGCCATTTTCACGTCTATTACCTATGTCAATAAGTTTCTGTTTTTGCAGTGTATTTGTCTTTTGTAGAGATTTTTCATTTATTCTTTACACATAAAATGTCGCCTAAAATCTCACCTAGGGCAGCAAATTGTCTAGAACCGGCCCTGGTACTAGGCCTCAAGAGCCTTTCTTGTGCTGACACATAGAAACAAATTGGCGGGGCGCACTTCGCATGCGCACACACAAAAAAATTCCACGCGCTCCGTGCTTACATTATGCTGGGCCCACATGTCTTAGCACCACTGCTATGACTCCATCCTAGGGGAAACACTGGTGTGTGTGTGTGTGTGTGTGTGTGTGTGTGTGTGTGTGTGTGTGTGTGTGTGTGTGTGTGTGTGTGTGTGTGTGTGTGTGTGTGTGTGTGTGTGTGTGTGTGATTACCTTCAGTCCATTAGGTCCTGGAAGACCTATCTCTCCCAAAGGTCCCATATCACCCTGTTGCGAGGACAAGGGAACCATCAGAAACTCAGATTCCGTGACATCATTTCCAAAGTACTGATAAACACATGACTTCCATTTAACACACACAATTGATTAAACAAAACAATAAGCCTCACTGTCTTGCTTCCAGATTATCTACGATGCAGCCATCACATTGCACTCAACACAAATCAATGGGAGGTAATATATGACCACATTTTAGGAGATACAGACTGTATCTCGCAGCCTGAAGCCAAGACTGTGTTTCATCTGAAGGCTAAATTAAATAATCTGAATGTAACAAACAAAAGCTGTTTTCCACAACTGGAACAAAATCAACCATCGCTGGAATCTTTGTTGAATGAGATTGAAATGGTGATGACACAAAAGAACTGGGTTTGATTTCATTTAGTAAGGATCTGTTAGACGAAGCGATTAAAGACTTGATTGGCTGCTTTCTTGTCAATGTGTGAGATGGAGAGAGTTGTTGTCACAGCATCACAGGCTGCTAGTAGTTATCTTGTTTGTATTCCTCTGCTGCTCTGCATTTTATGCATGAAGAGACCTACAGGGTGGCCTTGGCTCAGTGTGTTAGATAATGCATGTCACTGCATTTGGTATTCAGGGTGGACAGTTTGTAGAGTTTCTTCTTCTTCAGCTAAGCAAATCTAATGCTTTCTAATAAGTGAAAATATGCGGCTGTTCATATCATATGCTCACATGTCCTTGTCTAATGTGTTTCATTACATTACATTATTATTATTATTACATTACATGTTACTTGTTAGACACTTTTATCCAAAGCGACTTACATACTCAATACAGTGGGCAATCCCCACAGGAGCAATTTGGGGTGAAGTGTCTCAGGGACACAACAACATGCTGACTGCAGTGGGGTCCGAACACCAACGCACAACCCACTGTCTGCACCACACGCCTCCCGCATTCAATTAATTAAATTCAGATTTCTAGGGTTTATTATGAATGCGTGCCAAAAGGCAGCCAGCACCACAACCTGTGTTTATTGGGGCTTATTGTTTGTATAATTATAAAATGTATTAAAGGAAGAACAATATTAATTTGACAAAGATATAAAGGACACGCGCTGCTCTCCATGAAAACATAAAAACAAATAAACATGCAGCAAAAAGACATGCATCTAAGCAGACAAACAACACAAACCTCAACAAAAAACAATATGACAGACATAGAAAAGATATAAAAAACAATTGATCATCATGCATCATTTTAATGCAGGATAACACAAAGGTGTTGTGTCCTAAAACTATTTTTAAACTTCCACCCCAGTTGCAAAACTCCCAAGAATGTCGAGGGAAATACGCTATTTTCTCGAGAGGATCGAAGACATTAAATGTCACTGCGGTTCAGGAAAGCCGCACTATATTTCTTTTTGATAAGTTGTTTAAATACTTCTTTAAGAGCATCCAGTGTTCACCCAGAATTGAGGCGTGCGGTCTTTAGAGCGGGGTGTTTGTATATTTATATCTCTGAAGTGCAGCTGAGTTTCTGCTGGTGCGTCTCGTACAGTAAACACTCGGCTGGATGGACTCAGAGGACACTGGGGCAGAGCTGTAATCAGACCTCCAATTACAGGCCTGCTGCCACCACCGGGGGCCCAGAATAGAGCGGGAGGATGAAGACGGGACAAGAGAAACCAGGGGCACATTATAATCACACGCAATCATGTGGCAGAGCAGGCAAGGAAGGCAAGGTGACAGTTCCTGTGCAGAAATAGCTAATAAGAGAGGGATTCACGAGGAAAACAAGACGCCTCGTTAAGGCCTGTTTGATTCATCAGGGGCTCACTGTCATGTTCAACCTGACAGGAAGTGGGACGGCAAGATGTGTCATTTAGACTTTGCGATCCATTCCAAAAACCATCCGTTTCACTATTTTAGATATGTGTACAGTCCCTGCTGAGATAGTGGCTGGCAGTGTCAATGTCGACGAAAGCTAATTTAGTTTTTTTGTTTCTTTTGTGTATGCAAATTTGGTGCAACTACTTGTCTTTATTCTTTGTTAATGTTAAATCACTTTTTTTAAATATATATTTTTTAATTCATTAGGTTTTTTACCTCTTACAACTTTTTTTCTTGTGTTGTTTACAGTTTGTTTGACCCACTGTAGACCAAAGCAGTTCCTTAAACGTACCTGGTAACAAACTAGATTTTGATTCTGGATTGAGAATTAATTGAGCTGTTCAGTTTCATTTAAATCGGTCCTTTACAGCTTTGTATTTCTGGAATAAGAGTCTGGGAAAATAGGATGTTTAGACTGAACACACACACACACACACACACACACACACACACACACACACACACACACACACACACACACACACACACAGTGCTACTCACAATAAGTCCGAGAACTCCGCTTGGACCGGGGGCTCCCAGATCACCCTGTTCAGAGAGGAGAGGGAGACGAGGGAGAAGGTGCAAGTTTCTGGGGTTATTGGCTCTTTTTAAAACAAACATGCTCAGAAGAGAGGGTCAGTGTTCATCACAGCTTATGAGAGGGGCTTTGTGCATGTATTTGTGTGTGTGTGTGTGTGTGTGTGTGTGTGTGTGTGTGTGTGTGTGTGTGTGTGTGTGTGTGTGTGTGTGTGTATAGGAGTGACACCCTTTAGAATCAAAGATTAAAAAGGTTTTACTATCATATGCACAAAAGCTAAATATTGATGAAAATATTGTGCAATATACTTGTAGAAAGAGGAATGTGTGTGTGTGAGCCCATCGTCCCAATGATCTTGTTTTAAATCTGCAGGTTGGTTCTTACTCCAAAATGAAAGAGATAGATGGACTTTTGTAAAGATCCTCATGGTCCTAAGAGGATGAATGAGTGACTGTGACCTCACGATTTGCTGACTTCTCTCTTTTAGCACTACTAGCTTGCCAAAGTTTTCACTTATACAGTAGGCCTATAGTGAAATACCTCAAAGAACTGGTACTAACAATCATGGTTTCACAAACCCTACCCTTGTGACTATTTGCTTTTCCGCTAGCACCACCATGAAGTTGCACCACTTTTTTGAAATGTCCAAAGAACTAATGATCCTTTATCTTTCTTTTAGCGCTATCATCATTGTTAGTTGACGAAATTCCTGCAAAAAGTTTAGCTTTCCCATTAGTCTCAATTGCACGTTATTTCTACTGCTAGCTAACAATGTGAGAATGCTAACATGCTAATCTGAGAAAGCTGAAAATGGTAAATATATTAACAGCATGTTAGCTTGATGTTAGCATTAAGCTCAAAGCATTGTAGAAGTACATAGATCTGCAAGCATGGCTGTAGATATAGTTTTGCTAAGAAAGATACGTTTTAGATAGGATTTTATGCTTTTTATACTTAATGATTAACTAATAAAAGTAAGTTGTAATAAAAGAGACAGTGGGGAGAAGTAATAATCACAAAACCTCCTTTTCTCAAATGCAGGGAAAAGTGGCTCATGTATGGCAGAAATAAAAGTATGTCCCCTTGGAGTTAATAAACCAGTAGATTATTAAAGGGATATATGCAGAGATCTAATGCATAATTGACATTCTCCTAAAAAAGGAAGAAACAGGGCGCTAAGGAAAGATGTATTTAGAGTAGGATTTGTCTTCTTTCAAACATGAATGCACCTTATGTTTATGAGTGTGTTAATGAGGAACCTGCTGATGTTTTATGCTTCCATTTTAGAGTTTACCACTCTGACTGATGAAGTGCTAAATTTCCAGAATGACTTTATCATAACAAAGTGAAAATGCACAAATGAAATAAGTTGATTTCTTCCATGTGGAAACAGTCTTTTCTGACCTACCAGTTCTGAATTGGGAACAATTTCTCAAAAAAGCATCCTATTACATAATTTACTATTCTTGGACATGACCCACTAATAATGCCACATGTGTGTGCTGGTGGTCAGTGTATATTGATGAATGGAAAAGGTTTGCATTTGAAAGCCAAGGCAGCTAATTGGTTTCCCCCTTAATACTGCAGGTTTCTTAGGAAAATTATCGGCATAGGATGAAATTAAATACTGCAGTAAAACTTGTCTCAAGTAAAAAAACTCACTTCAAATGAAAGAGAAAAACAGAGGCAAACAGCAGGACTGCCTGTGATTTACTCACCAGCACGGCCAGAATGTCAGCACTAAAACAGCAGGGCCCAGGGGTGTGTGAGTTAAAACACTGCTCTATAGTGTGTGTGTGTGTGTGTGTGTGTGTGTGTGTGTGTGTGTGTGTGTGTGTGTGTGTGTGTATTGGTTATGTGTGTGACATACTGGTTCTCCATCTGGTCCAGGTGGTCCTCTCTCCCCAAAGTCCCCTGGAAACCCCTGAGGACAGAGACAGAGAGGCTTTTATGTTCTCAGCAGCACACACACTTCAAACTCACAACATCCATTACATTTAAAGGGTCCATTTGATTTATTAAGTGCAGTCTGCTTTGTTTAACATGCAATATCTAATTAACACCTCTGTTAAACTAGTTTATAATGTTTTCATTTATTTTCTGTTTACAATCTATTCTTTATTTTTGTTATATGTCTTGCATTACGTAACCATTGCTCTTTTCTAATATGCAGTTATCAGATGTGTCTATTTAATGTGCATGTTTCATAATTATGTAATACAAAAAAAAATGGAAAACAAATTCATTTGATATAAATGATTTTGCCATTTTGTCAGTTAACAATTTAGTGCTACTATTTGTCGTCTTATTGTGAAGTCGATCAACAGAAAAAAATCGGGCAACTATTTTGACAGTCAATATGTTATAATATAACCGTGGAAGAGAATTATTCATGCTAAAATTGCAGCAATTATCAAGATTTTCTTGCTTTTTATTTGATATCAAATTAAACTGAACATCGTTCGATTAAAGACGGAAAGACAACACCTTGAACTTAAATACTATGAGACTTTCTCTGACATTTTGTGGATCAAATGAATATTATAGAAAATAATTGGTATATTGCTCAATATTGAAAAAGTTTGCTTATCAAGAAACTCAGCGAAAATGGAGCAGATGTTTTTATCGGCTATCGTTTGAGGTTGTCAGCGTCTCCAGCTGGTCTCTATCGTCTGCCGAGATAAATATCTTCTCATTAGCTGCTTAATGCTGCGCTGAATCCACCAGCTAGTTGCTAACCATGTCTGACGGCTGTTTGGTGAGGGACAGCTAGTGTATAGGAGCTTGTATTTAAAATGAAGATCGCTCCATGCTGCTAAAACAGTAGAGTTATGGACCAGAAAAGCAAAACAATAATCTGAAAGACACCATAAATCTCCATGGAGCTGATGGGGAACATATATCACGTACAAGTAGTATTCTGATTTATTGTATATTACAAACTAAACTAAACAAAATTTTTGTTATTTCCAAGTCATCAAAGTGAAATGCACTTTTTGTTGATGCTAACGGACATTTCTTAAACACAGAAATAAGAAACTTGTTGTAAAAAATTACCAAAACGTGCGTTTCATTGGAGGATGATATGTTTAAATTATTGCTTAAAGTACCACTCATGCAAATGCAGAATAAACCTGTTCCACTTTAACCATGCAGTCAAGATTTACAGACTATATGTTCACAAATACTGCCGCCAACTGTTAGATAACCAAAAGTGATGCTACTGTAATTGCACAGCAATTAGGACCATTTGTGTCAAACATAAAATTTGAAATAAAGAAATATGAAATATGAACAAAATAGGAGCCTAAGTGCCCCATTATATGCATTAAATCCATCAGTTGTAGGGTGTCAGCAGCCAGCTGTTCTACTTCTTGGAGTATTTCTAAATGCAAGAGCCAAGTAATTACTCTGTCCATTTAGCAGTAAACAGGATGCTAATCTGAGTTTTGCTAACAATTGTTGGAGCTGCAGAGACAAACCACATCAGCAGAAAGCTCGAGGGCCATGTTAAACACAGAGCATCCAGAACCTCTCATAATGTGGTCCTGCTGCGGCCGCCACACATTGTTCCAGAAATGCTAATTACTGTACCTCCCGTAAATAGCAGCTATTTATGTAAGAGTAAAGATGTTTGAGATATACAGCATGTATTTATTTTAATCTGTTGCTGGCCTTATAGAAATAGAATCTGCTGACTGAATGTAAGTCTTTGTGTTCGAACCTCACATTCAAACAATAATAAATCCTTGTGACTGATGGTATGCTTTCCTAACCTTCAATTTAGTGACGCATTGAGTCAACGACTCAGATATAACTGCATTTATTTCTGTAACAGTGCAACATTTTTTTATTTTCTCCTCCTGTCTGGCCATTGGAGGACATTTTGGATTGACCCCAAAAGATGGCATGGGACGGCTTTGTGGTTCTTAGAGGTTTTTTGCGCAAAGAGGGAAGCACAAGTGCAACAGAAATCTATGAAGCATGACGGGGACCCAAAGGATGAATCATACATCTGTCACCGCAACCGTACTACGAACTAAGGACAAGTGTGGGAAACATAGCTTTGCCAAGAACAGCACTTTGATGAGTCAAATGTCTGCTTTTACACGCTGTTAGAGAACCTTCAGTAACACACTGCAGCAGCAGTCAGATAGCGGGTTAATGTGAAAAAACTGCAACTGATGAGCCTCAAAAAGGCAAACAAAGCCAAACAAGGCCAAAAAAGTTAAGCTGAAATGCAGAACTCTTGGCAATGCTCTTCGGAAACTTTTTAGGCTATCCACTGTTTTAGATATATCCCTCATCACTCTTTTGGTACATGTTGGACTGATTGTGTGTGTGTGTGTGTGTGTGTGTGTGTGTGTGTGTGTGTGTGTGTGTGTGTGTGTGTGTGTGTGTGTGTGTGTGTGTGTGTGTGTGTGTAGCCATTAAAGCGCCTGGCTGCTGTTCAGGTGCTTCTTCTGTTCTTTATCCTCCGTCAGGGAGGAGAGGGATGATCTCTCGGGGATCAACTTGTAAGTGTCCTAGCTTTCCATTTTCCATGAAGGAGCACTGAAAATCTATGATGGTGTTTTTGTGTGTTTTCCACTTGTGTATACTGGCCATTTGTAAGGGGCTGTAGCAGTTAAAATTGCCTCCTGCAGGATTTTAAATGATGCTTCTACTTGGTTTGGAATAAAACTTGGTAAATAATGTGTTTTTTTTTAACGTAAAACGCCTTTTTTTGGTTTATCCTGATAGTTTTACTGTCATTTTTAAGTTCAAGAGTATTTCTTTTATGCTTGGTATGGTGTCTTTAAAGGTGCCTCCAAATTAAATCTATAATTAGTATTATTAATGATATGTTAAATGGTAAATTATGATTCACTGTCATTTGTCTGAAATAGCAGTGCTGCAGCTGTCATAAGATCATCCAAGAAGATGACTTCTCGTCCATATAAATACTTATTGACTATTTTTTCAGTTTTGCATGACCCTTTCCAAAGCTGTATCATTGACTTCAATAGGTTTTCGTTGCAGAAAAGTGTCTGAAAAACAAAATCAGCCATCAACTCCAAAGATGCTGCCCTGTCTGAGTGTGGAGAACACACACAACACACACATCCCAAGCGAACACATGATCCAAAGCCTCACACATGGGGAATTTGCACCCACAACTACTTCCTAAACATTTGTATAATTACAGAATAAGTTACAGTGCAAAACATCACACAGAGCGGACACCAGCTTGCGTGTCAACAGACTTCTTTTTATATTTAAATGACTTATTTGCTGAAAAAACAATAAGCAGCAGCTGCAGGATGATCTCAGTATGGAGTTGCACGGCTTCACACTGTTTCTGAAACAGGCCGTCAAACTGGCTTTTACCACTATCTGACACGCACACGCATAACACAACCAACAACTTCCTCCAAATGGCTGGGCTCCATGCTGGGGGGGACCAAGAGCCATTCACTCCAACAAAAGCCTTTTCTGGTCGCATCCAAGCCCCCGACGTGCGGCTGCTGGGACTCCACACACACACACACACACACACACACACACACACACACACACACACACACACACACACACACACACACACCTCTGCTGCAGCTAACCAACAGCCATGGAAATACTGAGCCCAAACGCTGACGTAAATCCAGACCCCATAAAGTTTATGTGTAGGTGCAGGAGTCTCTGCCCCGACAGCTCTCGATACGACCCAAATAGAAGAATATCTTTTAAAGATTTGAAAAGGTAGTTCATGTAATTCCCTTGATTTAAGGTTGATTGATATCTTACACCATCTCCTCAAAACTGTCTATCGAGGGTTGCCTTTCGTTTATTACTCCAGTAAATGGTTTCTTTTTCTCCTAGTACAACATATTTTTTATGCATTTTATTTCCAAGAAACTCAGCAGCACATCACTGCTAAACAAAAGATTTAAAGTGGCGCTTTTGTATGATTCTTTGTAGAAAAACCGCATTAGTCGACTAAGAACTTAATTTAAGGACGGCGCTGATCTTCTACTTTGAAAGTAAAATAACAGAAGTCACGTTCACATTCAGCAGAGCACAGTTCATCACATTTTGTAAAGATTATCTGTAAAGTATGTTGAGACAAAACTTTACCGGCCTACCCATCTTGCCCCTCTTCCCTGGTTCACCGGGAGTGCCCTGAAAATCAAAACAAGAGAGAGCAGAGGTGGAGAGGAAAACAGAGCAGAAGGGGGAAAAAGGAAAGGGTTCAGGAAAGGTAGAAACACAGAGAAGACAGACATTATGTAAAAAGCATATCAAAATCAAAGCATAGCTGATTAAAGCCCACCCAAAACACACTATAGCTGCTGCAGCAGCAGATGTGGGGAACAGCTGACTGCAGCCATATTTCCCAGCTTATTATGAGGGATTTAGGCCTCCATCTCATATATTTATATATATATGTTAAATAAACACGGCCCCTCCAGGGAGAAGGCTGGCAGACTGTCTGATGTGCAGCTAAGGTATGAACAGGTCCTGATTACAGCCTGACACAACCTCCTGCAGCATGTAGGCTCATCACTGCATGTTTTAGAGGCTGTGCAGCAGGGGGAGGCCGGGATGAGTTCAGGCAGTTCAAAGGCTCTGAGAGGGGCCTTTTATCATATGAGTCATCAACACTCCCACACAAACCCGTACAGCAGCATCCCCGACAGCTGGGGAGCGTTTCCAACATTATAACAACAACAAGACAGCTGAATGAAACAGCAAGAGAGACACTGTTTCATCTCACAGGGCCCATTAGCCGGGTTCACTTGGTCACTGGAGGTTTTTGCAATAATTGACTGTGCTTTAGAGAATATAAACGCTGGACAGAGGTACATTCATTACAGGGAATTGCTTATAAACTACTCAAGAATTTCCATTAGCTGATACTCTGTATTTAAAACTTTATCCATCCATTGGTTAAATTCCCCAGCTACCCATCGGTACATATAGCATAAGAAAAGTTCCACCCTTACCAGCTGCAAGATTACATGAATATATTAATGCATCAATAATTATAAGCTGGTAATATGATATACAAACTTCTAAAATGGTCCGCAAAATGTGTATTTTTGCTAATACTTTTGTACTTTTACTTAAGTAAACATCTGAATGCAGGACTTTTACCTTAGCAGAGTATTCCTAACCAGTAGTTGTGCTACTTATACTGCAGAATAAATTACTGATGTCATTTGTTTATGTAGAATATACACATTTTACAAGAACTCACTCTTTCGCCATCGGCCCCAGGCAGGCCAAAAAGCCCCGGGATTCCAATGAAACCCTGCAGGAGAGGAGAGGAAGAAGAGGAGATAGGAGGAACAGGAACATGGGATGTGAGTATTTAGACACTACAAAAGCAGCAGCAGGAAGAAGAATAGTAACTCCCATTGGCTCTATAAGGGCTGAGTTTCAGGGGGCCGGGGGATCCAGTATGGATAGGGTGGACTTCCATGAAGAACCAAGCCATGAGGCAAGTGTATATGCCCATGGACTGCATGGTGCTGGCTTCCACGATGTAGTCCAAGGGCACATACCCTCACGCCAGGGATCTCTGAAGACAGCAGGACGTCACAGTGAGCTGCTGGTGCAGGGGGAGACACACACACACATAGGAAGACAAAAGTACACACACCACAACAAGTAGAACACTGGAGGAAGTAAAAGGCAAGTGGTTTTTACGTGCACACAATATGGAGATTACTGCAAAACAGAGTATTTGGAAAGGTGGCTCAGTGAGAGAGAGAGGACGGGAATGCCTCCTTAAGACAGCAGGGCCTCATACGGAGCTTAAACAGGAAATTCCAGTCAGCGGGGGCGGGGGTGGGGCTTCGGAGCAGCCGAGGGGAGCTGATAAAGAACCTTTATTGGAAAGCAACATAAAAATCCCTGTTTGTGTGCGCTAGCGTGTGTTCTTTGAATGTGTGCCTTCAGGGTGTGTGTTTGTGTGCGGAGGCTTATCAACAGCCAGTCTTTCAGAGAGCGTATACAGTAACACAAGGTTTACATTACAACTGAAGGCTCCTTAGTCGAGCATTCTATTAATAGTGGTGCACACTGTGAGTCATAAATGTGTCATGTGTGCAGAGGTGCATGCATGCTTCTATACATGCGTGCACTTTGTGTATTCCTCGTGCAGCAGTTTAACAACACAAAATGTCAACAGTTAGCAACCTTTAAGCAAACAACTTTCTGCCTTTAACTCTTCTATAAATATTGCGTAATACAAAGTGTCAGAAAGCTGTCAGGCCTGTTAACTTGATCACAGGTCCTGTCAGAGCTCCATGTTAGTCCTTTAGACTTTAGATCAAATCAAAGTTGAGCAGAACATTTACTGTATAGGGAAGACGCTGAGTTAACTTACCCGGACGCCTTTAGGCCCCATTGGTCCTATAGGCCCTGGTAAACCCTGAAAAACAAAGAGAGGAATTTGATTTTTGGCCTTTACTGGTTTATATTTATACCTGAAATAGTGTTTCCTCAAATACACTGTAAATATGATAGTCAACGTGCAAAATTATGGAATTGCACGTTCAAATATGTAACCTACAGTCTATCAAACACATCAGAAATTCCACCAGATTATAAAACATGTTAAATTATTTCCAGGATCAACCTATAAATCAACAACAGGCCAGTAAACTGGAGATGATTTTGTGCAATAAATGTACCCTTTTGGCCTTATGGTGGCTTCTTTTGAAATATTATTCTGACTTTTTCATCCAAATATTTTCCTGCAGGTCAGCTGTTAAACATAACCTAATACCGTTGGCCCTCTGCCCTCACTATGTCCTCGACTACTACAGTACCAGTCACAGCAGAGGATTTACTGCACCTGCCTGCCAGGATAACCTTTGGCACCTGGGCTTCCGACTGGACCATGCTCTCCCTGCAGAGGGGGAAGGAAGAAAGGGGGAGAGAGAGAGTGGTGGGGTAGGTAATCAAAATGACAGTACCACAAACACACATTCTGCAGGAGGAGAGAGTTTCAGAGAGGGAGACAGAGCTGAGGCTAGGATTTAGCTCAAAAGTATCCGAAGTGTAGAACTAAATGCCCCTCTGAGTGTTATCACTTTAGATTCATACTGTATAACTGATACATCAATATGTACGACAAGTACCATTTTACGTGAATGGAAACTTAAATCAAGTTCATTTAAATGCACCAACAACAATAACAAAAGGAACATCTCTTCAATAATAAATAATCACTGTGAATTAGTCCTATTGTCTTCGTTTCTCCCCCCNGTAATGGAAGTATGGATGAGGGGGTGAGGGGGGCGGAGGTGTGTAAACAAACGGCACTGGAGAAGATTTAACGTCGGGGTAGAGGAACGAATTTCAGGAACGGGATGATGGCATATTTATGGGAGATGAGAGAATCTAACCAGCACCCTTTGTGTAGCGGCTCTGTTGTGATTGGTCAACCGCTTAGAGATGTCCCGCCCCTTAGCCTATCACATAAAGGACTTATACTCTGATTTAATGAAATACTTGATTACATTTGTTTGGAAGTTTCACCCTCTGTCTGAAACCAGAGTCCAGTCTGCTCTGATTGGTTAGCTGGCCAGCTCTGTTGTGATTGGTCAACCGCTTAGAGATGTACAATGTGTTGGAGCACTAGCCAATAGGAGCGTGAGTGTTACATAGTGGTGTCACTATGTTTGGAAAGTAAACAAAGGAGTCCAAAGGAGGCGTTTTAGGCAGGTGTGTGCGAGAGTATAATGAATGAAGTGTAATTGCAATGAACTCATGGATTTTGTGAGGTTTACTTTATAATTTAATTTAATTTAATTTACATTTAACAATTACCCACATATTACACATGTTGGATTTTCTTGGGACCAATTCCAACATTTTTGGAAAACAAATGCCTGTTTATAGAAAAAAGGGTAATTATTAAAATAAAAGTAATTATTAAAATGTGACAACTTTATAATTAAGGGCAAAATAATTAACAATAACTGAGTAATTCTCATATCTGTCAAACGTTAAAAAAAAGAAAAATACAAGAAATCGTAGAGCAATTGGAGGAATTTTAATTCATGAACTCTATTATTATAATTATTATTTTATAAATATGTTGAGTTTGCATCATCAGTCTCTCCTCAACCAACTTATTTTTGTGATTTAAAAAATATATATTACATATTTGTTTAACCTTGGATGGTTTCATGGAAATTAGTGATTTATAAATAACTTTTTAAAGACTCCTGAGGATTTAAAAAGAAGCTTGTTTTGGAGAAGACACTCAGTACTGTGCTAACCTTCTGTTATCTCCTTCAGACACCTCACTTTCTCTCATACATTCAAAGTAAGTGCCATCATTTGTTCCTCGGCCTCTTCTCCACAGGACCTCCACAGCCTCTAGTTGCTAGGCGATTGATGACATAACCAACAAAAAAACACTTCTTCCTCTTCCTCTTCTTCTTCTCCTAATATGAATTGTAAATGTGTCCTCACCGTCACCCCGCTCTGCTCTCTGCTCCGCTGAGCATTAATCCGTGTTTCCGACAAATTACAAGTGAATTTGCATCTACCCACTCCAGCTTAATTTAACGGTGACGCTCCTAATGACAGAGCGGAGGGTTAATTGGGCACAGAGGCTGAGAGGAAATAAATAATAAATAAATACAAAAACAGGTATACTACTACAACTACGAGAGCCTCTCCAAAACTGACCGTATTTAGACAATCATAAACGGCTTGAAGGAAGTCAGATTGAAGTCTTTTAAGGCTCTTTGAAGTGATTTCTCCATTATGCAAGAGGCATTTGGTACATTATTTATTAGATTAAGGAAATTTGGTGCAATTAAAATAAGGGAATTATACTCTGATTTAGTGAAATACTTGAAACAATTTGATTTAATTTGTTAGTAAGTTTAAATAGGACATAATTTGGTACCGTGTATATCAGTATGTAGTGTCTCTACTTTAAAGAGTCCTCTCCTGCTGATGTTCAGGTGTATATCAGTATGTAGTGTCTCTACTTTAAAGAGTCCTCTCCTGCTGATGTTCAGGTGTATATCAGTATGTAGTGTCTCTACTTTAAAGAGTCCTCTCCTGCTGATGTTCAGGTGTATNGCCCTTTCAAACTGTAAATATTGTATCAGACTAGAATATACAAAGAATAGACACTGAACATGTATTGCGTGTGCCAGGTGTGATCCATGTTGGGGGACGGGCACATAAGAGTGGCAAATGTGTCAAATTGTTCTGTCTGTGTGTGTGTGTGTGTGTGTGTGTGTGTGTGTGTGTGTGTGTGTGTGTGTGTGTGTGTGTGTGTGGGTGGGTGGGTGGCTGAGAAAACATGGAGAGTACTTTCCTGTGAGATCTGAGTAAAATAAAC